TCTCTCTCTCTCTCTCTGTGCAATAAACTAATTATCGGCATAAATATATAATTTTTACCATAAATAAATGTCTATCTTTCTAAAAAAAATATATTCCAAGATAGATTAATAATTGTATTTTATGGTGATATAATTATCTACTCGTAAATAATTAATTGTGAGATATTGAGAGAGATTAAATGGCGAGAAATGGCGCGAAGCAACATTTGTTTTGGCTGAGGAGGAGGAGGAGGAGGAAGATGTGTAACGAAATCATCCGAATGCGTTAACTCGATCACAATTTTACATATTTAGGAGTATTTTTTTTAATTTTAAGAGTCCTAAATATTGAAATAAGTTGTAGAATATTATGTAGTGATTATATGTAGTGAAATATTAACCGTAATTGAACGTAGTTTGGGTTAAATTATCGTTATTGGTGAGTTTGGGATTGTAAACATTAAACGAACACTAGATTGTGATTGGATTAGATGTGTAAACGACGTAAATTCAGTGCCATTTCAGATGTCCGGGAGTGTAGACGTGTTTTAGTTGAGCTCTGATAGTTTTTATGTTAATATAACCTCAAACGATGGTAAGATAACTTATTTTTATTTATTTATCAGTGTTATAATAAAAGGTTAATAATTATATAAGCCTCTTCTCGTCTCTCCGTCTGTTGGGCCCCTGTCCTGATGGGCCCTGGTTCTAATCTGACGTAATTGGGGCCCTGGTCCTAATCTGACGTAATTGGGGCCCTGGTCCTAATCTGACGTAATTGGGGCCCCGGTCGTAATGGGAGTCACTACCTACTAAGGGGTTCAGTCTTAAGAGAGCCCCAGTCCTCATGGGCCCCGGGTCTTGAGAGAGAGGGGGGTGGGGGGAGATGGAAGGAAAGGTTAAAGAGTGAGAGGGAGGGAGGGACAGGCGGCAGCAACGGGCAGGGAAAGTTGACGTCTTCAAGGTTGGCTCCCTCCCTCCTTCTCTCCCTCCCTCCTTCCTTCTCTCCCTCCCTCACTACCAATGACCTCACGACCCACACTACCACCACCACCACCACCAGTAGAACTTTGTACGTGTGTGTGTGTGTGTTGTGAGGAAGACACGTCACACACGCTTGGATACCTTCCTACGTGAGGTTGAAATCTCCAATATATCCACACTCGCCTATCCACGTCCACCCACCCACCCACCACACCCACTGAGGTTACAACACCGTACAGTATAGTCAGTATAGTCAAGTGAGTTAAGTGAGTCAGTTGAGTGAGTCAATCAGATACATTCTCACATCACCATTTACGAGAAAATTTATCTCACGGGTATTTTAAGACTTCACCAGCCAGGGATTTTAGTGTTGTGTTGACATTCGTTGTTACCTTATGTGTGTGTGTGTGTGTGTGTGTGTGTGTGTGTGTGGAAGAGAGGGTGTGGTAAGGTGTGGTGGTGGTAGGGGTGTGGGTGGTGGTAGGGGTGGTGGTGGTAGGGGTGTGGGTAGTAGTAGTGTGTGGGCAGCGTGGGCCAAAATGCTGCCATATTTGTGGACAAGACTTGCTGGGCACGCCATTCAATCCCCAAGCGAGCCAGCCAGTTAGCCAACATATGGTGATGGTCTCCTAGGATTGGTGGACAGGAGGAGGAGGAGGAAGAAGAAGAAGAGAGTTAGGTGGTTGGAAGAGGAGGAGGGGATGATAAACAGGAGGAAGAATAAGTGAAAAATGAAAGAGAAACAAGAGAGAGAGAGAGAGCTTTCAGGGCGATGGAATCAAGAGGATTTTTCCCTTATTCTCCCTCTCCCTCTCTCTCCCTCCCTCACTCTCCCTCTCTCCCTCAGATACTCCAACAATTGACTCACGTGTTGATTAATTACTGTAAATTACAATTACTCTTATTACCTTTTCTACAGGTGAGAAACAGGTTAATTAACGGTCTAATTAGGACGGAAATGGACGGCTTTAGGTCGAATTGGGACGGAAATGAACGGGTTTGTAAATCGAAAAAATAATCGTTCGAAAATACTGTTAAGCTTTTCTGGTGGGGGGGAGAGGTGTGAGGAGGGGGAGAGGTGTGAGGAGGGGGAATGGACGTAGGAGATGAGGGGGAGGAAATTTTGTAGAAGAGTTTAAAAACCTCGAGGTAATTAAGACGACCCTCCCTCTCACCCCCGCCCCCTGATGCTGTAGTGACCGGCCGGAGGGGGGACAAGATTTCGACCGGATGGAGGATGGTGCGGGGGTGGGGTGGAGGGAGGATGAGGGGTGGGGGAGGGTGATACTAAGAACATAAGGAGTCTGCAATAGGCCGGTTGGCCTGTGCATGGTAGCTCCTGTCGAGAGTTACTACCACTCTCTATCATCCATGAATCTATCCAGCCTCCTTTTAAAACTTTCCAGCGTTCCATCACTTACTACACAGTTGGTAAGCTTGTTCCACTCGTTCACCACCCTATTTGTGAACCAGTTCCTTCCTATCTCCCTCCTAAACCTAAACTTATCCAACTTAAATCCGTTGCTCCGAGTCCTATCCTGCTCGGATATTATAAGAACTTTATCTATATCGCCTTTATTGATTCCTTTCACCCACTTAAATACTTCTATCACATCTCCCCGCACTCTTCGTCTTTCTAGGGAATGCAAGTTTAGTTTCTTTAACCTATCCTGATATGGAAGGTTTCTAAGTCCCGGAATCATTTTCGTCATTCTTCGCTGCACCGACTCTAGTGAATTTATATCCATTCTATAATAAGAGCACATCATAATGGAGGTGCGGCCTGACTAGCGCAAGATATAGTTGCAATAAGACCTCTGCACTCTTGTTACTTACACTTCTAGATATAAAACCCAATACTCTTAAGAACATCCTCTTTTCTGATAGTGATGTTCTTTAATTTCCCTTCTTCATTTCCCCTAAATATCAGTTCCTCCTCTGGCATTTCCTCGTGAATTTCTTCTGTGAAAACTGACCAGAAGTAGCTGTTTAATGCTTGGCTTATTTCCTCACTATCATCGATCACTTCTCCCCTCCCTGACTTTAAGGGTCCCACTTTGTCCTTGACCTTTGTCCTATATACCTGGAAAAATCCCTTGGGATTCGCCTTGGATTCTCTTGCTATTTTGATTTCATAGTCTCTCTTTGCTTTCCTTACATTTTTCTTAACATTCCTAGATAGTTCATTATACCTGTTTCTGAGCTGCTCCTCCCCTCCCTTTAATTTCTTATATATTCCTTCCTTTATTCCTATGTCATGTTTAAGTTTTCTGGTCATCCATCTTGGCTCATTCTTATTTGACCTAATTTTTCTGTATGGTATATTTTGTTCTTGTGCTTTATGTAGTATACGAGTGAATATATTATAGTCATGATCAATTGTTGTGCTGCCTGTGACCTCACCCGTTCCTACTGGGGAGGAGGGAGAGAGGTCAGGTAGGGGAAGGGGTCAAGTAAGAGGCAGGATGCAGGGGGGGGTGGCAGGAAGGGGGGGTAAGGGAGGTCTCAAAACATAGAGACGTAAATATTGTCTTCTGTATAATGACCATGACAACTGTAGTGACGATACAGGAGGAGGAGGAGGAGGAGGAAGAGAAGGTAGTCAGAGTTGAGGTACTCTCCCTCACTCGGTCACATCAACCACGGCGCGTGAAGATATGTACCAGAATTCTACTATCAGAGAGAAAGGTTCTACCACGCTCCACCGGTGCTCCATGCTCCGGGGTTTGTGTGTGTGTGTTCCTGTACTCCATGCTCCGAGGGGGGTAGTGTAATACTGTGCTCCATGCTCCGGGGGGTAGTGTATTATTGTGCTTCATGCTCCGAGGGTGTGTGTGTTTGCTCCTATGCTCCATGCTCCGGGGAGGGTTGAGTATTTCATGCACCGTGGTATGTGTGTTTGTGTTCCTGTTTCATGCTCCGGGTAAGGTGTAACGGTATTTATATTCTCCATGCTCCGAGTGCTCCATACTCTGCAGTACGTGTGTTTGTGTATGTGTTGCCATGCTCCGGGTGACGTGTACCAGTACTCCTGCCTTGTGTTCCATGCTCCTGTCTTGTGCCTATGCTCCGGGTAAGAGTATAAGGGTATTCAATACTCCGAAAGAACAATGCTCCAGGGGAACTTGTTATTGTTGTCATCGATACATAAACACAAAGGTTATTTTTGGTTATTATTTGTGATTTATAAATAACTTAAGACAGACAGACAAATAGATAGACAGACACAGATAGATAGACAGACAGACACAGATAGATAGACAGACAGACATAAATAGATAGACAGACAGAGACAGACAGACAGACAGACACCTCAACGTTTTTGCTTCCGGGGTCAGGTATGTGAGGGAGGCGACGGTAGTGGAGAGAGGCCATTATAGTCTAAGGTGAAATATGCCGAGTCATTGGGTAGTTGAGTGGAACGAGGTAATTAGCATATTAACGATGTGTGTGTGTGTTTGTGTGTGTGTGTGTGTGATAATCGTATAATATTATCTTTGAGTGTTTTAATTGGTTCTCGTATCAGTGACGTCAGAGGGAGATGAGCCAATGAGAGAGAAAGGTTTAGTGCCAGTGACGTCTAAGCAGCCAATCAGAGGCTAGATAAAGAGTCCCTCAACTACGTCATCCACCTCACCTCTCAGCGTCCCCTACCCCCTCCCTACTACACCCCCCTCCCCCCCCCTGGTAGTGATCCTGGCAGGCGTCCTTATGGTCAGGGAGATAAGGGTGTTTATTGTTCGTCTCTTGGGTGATTAAATCTGGCGATAAACTACGTTATTCGGGGCGGCGTTACCTCCTAAAACTACGTCGTCTTAGGAGAGGGACTTCACCTATGGAGGGAGAGACAGCTACATGATAAAGGCCGATCTGTCTGTGGTCAGGTTAGGTTAATGCCGTCACTGATGGCACACCCACCCACACCCACACCCACACCCACCCACACCCACCCACACCCACCCCGAGACGCCATAAGGTTCCCACACTGCTCCTCTAAAACACCACTATAACCACTTTATTATTTCCATCTACAACAGGTACTACCATGGGCTTGGCTACGAGATGAGAAGGCTTGAGGTTTAATGGCCTGGCCTCGTGTACTGGCCTCCAGGCACCTGGTATAGGAAGCCATGGTGCCCTATACCCTCCCAGAGGCCGCCCACTATCGCCTCCTCCCGCCCACACCACCAACCAAGATGCATGATGAATCAGGCGGCCATCTAAGATAGCCCCATGGCGACTATAAATTCTATTCTGTGTTATAATATATATATAAATAAACATATATATATAAAGAGTTGTATATAAACGTGGTGTTGTGGTGGTAATGGCGCGGATGGTGGAGCTACCCTATGTCTTATTGGCGTTCTGTGCCATATTGGCCGGTAGTGAGGCCAAGTCTACTGATTTTATAAAAGATAACAGAGAATATAGTAAGTATAGTGTGTGTGTGTGTGTGTGTGTTCATACAGTCATACATCAGAAGTAAGTATTGTTGTTATGAAGGCTCTAGTCTACACCTGTCTACAGTCATTACCACAGGTGAGTTGTATTAATGTTCACTTCATGCATAGTTTATGTATGTGTAGTATATCCATTATTATGTATGTATATTTATGTCTGTATTGTATATATGTCCATGTATGTTAATGTATAATCTTTCATTCACTCTTGTAACCTAACCTAACGTAACGTAACACATCCTGGTGACAACACAACGTAACACAAACTACTAACTTCTTAACGTAACGCGTCTTGGTAACAATCCCCAAATGGCCTAGTTCAGTTCCTTATCCAAGAATCCTGGTAACGTAAACCTGGCCACCATCCTTGGGCCATGGTTAACCTTATAGAGATAGAGAGTTTGATCTTAGCCTGGAGGAGTATAGAATATCCTACCTAAGTTATATAAGGCGATGTAACATGATGCTTTGGTTGGCTTTTATGTTGCCACTTACCTCCGCGGGGTCTACCATGGCTCCTCATTGGTTAGTTTAGAATAGTTTGTTTTTATGTAATGTCTCTTCTGATTGGTGCTTTTGGCGGGGTAATCTATTGAATAATCGTTAGTATTCTTTAATTTTGTGGTATTTTGTTAAGTTTACTGGATATTACGTTTGTATTTAGTTAGAATTTGTGGAGTATTTATGTGTCTAGAGTGCGCGCCAACACGAAAAAGCGCGCGAAGGATTATGATTGGTGGAAAAGCAACCCGATCTCCCCCCCCCTGCCGTCACCGGACCCACGTTGACTCACTAGTGGCCAGGCGGGGTGATGACGGCGTCTGAGGAGGACTGCTGCTTGCTTGCCACTCACGCCCTCTCATAATCTTACAAATTTCCTAAAACCACATCTGATAATTAATACGAGTCAAAATCACGATAAATACTAATTACAATGTTGAAATTTTACAAGATGGACCCGTTCAGTTAACCTATAATCTGCTGTTGTTGCGTTTAAGAGGAAAATCAAACCTAAGAATCTGATTATTTTTTTAGAATTCAGGACCCGAGTTGGTAATTTCCCTTAAAATATAAATTTTTATTTATTTTAACCAACTTTAAGTCAGTTTTCTGTTTATATCATGTTTATTAAATGTTTGTTGGTGTTTTTTTATGTTTAGATGTTATATTTAATGTTTAAAGACGGATTAACTTGAGTGAAAACGACAGGCGGCTCTTGTGGTCGAGAATGGGATGCAAATTAATTGTTGTGTTGTGGTTGTAGTTGTGTTGTGGTTGTAGTGTTGTCAATAATTACACTCGCTTCAGCAACACTCGCCAGGTGTTCACGACTCATTTAGCTACATGATTAACACTATAGCCCTTATCTTCCTCCACAATAAGTTCTAATTTAGCTCCTGTATCTGATTGTTAGAGAGAGAGAGAGCAGCTGTAGGGAGTGTCTGTCTCTGCCTCATTCCTCCTACATACTAACCTAATCCCACCTCACGTAACCTAACCTAACCCCATTGTTCTTGCCCTACAGTATGCATCGGTACTACTGGCCGTATGTCCGTACCGTCCAACCGTGAGCACCACTACAGGAATCTACGGGACCGGTTTATTAACTGCACGTATGTTGATGGTAACTTAGAACTGACGTGGCTACAAGATGAAGATTTAGACCTCTCCTTCCTTCAGTATATCCGTGAGGTGAGTTCTTCCTTCTTCATCTCTTCCTCCTCCTCCTTTGTTTATCACTATTCTTCTGTTCGTAATCTTAAACTACCCAATTTTCCTTCTATTCTTCTTATTATCTTATTCTCCTCTCTTATATTCATCTCCTAACTCTATTTCCTCTTCTCCAAGTCTTCGTTACTATTCTTCCTTCCCTCTTTTATTATCCCTCTTCCTTCAATTCCCTTTTATTATCCCTCTTCCTTCAATTCCCTCTTTTATTATCCCTCTTCCTTCAATTCCCTCTTTTATTATCCCTCTTCCTTCAACCTTTTATTATCCCTCTTCCTTCTTCCTTTTATTATCCTCTTCCTTTTTATTATCCCTCTTCCTTCCAATTCCCTCTTTTATTATCCCTCTTCCTTCAATTCCTTTTATTATCCCTCTTCCTTCAATTCCCTCTTCCTTCAATTCCTCTTTTATCAATTCCCTCTCCTCTTCCTTCAATTCCCTCCTCTTTTATCCTCTTCCTTCAATTCCCTTTTTATTATCCTCTTCCTTCAATTCCCTCTCCTCTTGTTATCTATCCTCTTCCTTCAATTCCCTCTTTTATTATCCCTCTTCCTTCAATTCCCTTTTATTATCCCTCTTCCTTCAATTCCCTCTTTTATTATCCCTCTTCCTTCAATTCCCTCTTTTATTATCCCTCTTCCTTCAATTCCCTCTTTTATTATCCCTCTTCCTTCAATTCCCTCTTTACACACATTGATGGCAGATGACAAGAAAATTATTAACATTTCCTGAATTTAATTATTATTTTTCCTAACCAGATATTCACTTACTAATTAATTGAAGTTTTAATTATCAGTTAGAAAAAAAAAGTAATATTTGTGGTTTGGTATGATTTTAAGTGGTTCGTGATACTGGTTTAGTTTTCTGTGATGTTTGAAGTTGTTTTAAAGTTTAACTCAAGATTTAATAAAAAAATATCGAGGTTAATCCGAAGGAATTATTCATTATTAGTGAATTTTAAAATATGTAATTTTAGAATTTTTTTTTATTAGTGAATTTTAAAATAATATTATTTTTAAATCATCAAAATGTAATTAATTATTTATTTAATCATTTAAAACTGTAATTACATAAATACCTGTATCTCTTAATGAGGAGTTTACCTGTGTGGCTATTACCTCATGTTGACCTTTGATCTATTTCCACCCTGACCTTACTACCACCCCGGCCCTACATAATAATGACCTCTGACCTCTATATCTCCACCCTGACCCCACTACTGTTGTCACCCCCTACAATAATGGTGACCCCTGACCCCGCTAATGCTGTCACCCTCTAAATAATGACCACTGACCCCACAACTATTATCACCCCCTACATAATAATGACCTTTGACCCCTAACCTCAACTACCACCCCCTCACAATACTAACCTTTAACCCCATATTGACCCCTTACAGGTAACGGGCTACTTACTAGTGTCACACGTCGACGTTAAGAGGATCGTACTACCTTCACTACAGATCATTAGAGGTCGGACGCTGTTTAAAATCTCGGTAAAAGATGAGAACTTCGCCCTCTTGGTCACCATGTCCAAGATGCACACCCTGGAGATGCCTGCACTCAGAGGTATGGCTGTTGGTCTATTTACCTCTCTACTTATTTACCTATTCTACTCCACTATCTACCTATTACTTGTCCATCTAATTTATGTATCTCCTTTTCCACACACACACACAGATCAGTATCATTGAGAACCACCATTACTTCGTCATTATCTGCTGCTAGTGGTGGTGGTGGTAGTGGTGGTGGTAGTGGTGGTGGTGGTGTGGTGGTGGTGTGGTGTGGTGGTGGTGGTGGTGAAATAGAATAATGTTGATGTGGTGGTAGTGTGGTAATTGTGATAGTGGTAGTGGTAGTGTTAATGGTGGTGGTAGTGGTGGTGTTAGTAGTGGTGATGATGATAGTATGGTGGTGGTGGTGGTAGTAATAATAATAGTGGTAATATAGAGTCATCGTGGGTAATGGTGGTGGTAGTAGTAGGTGGTGGTGGTGGTGGTGAGGTGGTGATGATGATGGTATGTTATGGTGGTGGTGGTGGTGGTGGTGGTGGTGTGTAATGGTGGTGTGTAATGGTGGTGTGTAATGGTGGTGGTAGTGGTAGTAGTAGTGGTGGTAGTGGTAGTAGTAGTGGTGGTGGTGGTAGTGGTGTGTAATGGTGGTGGTAGTAGTAGTGGTGGTGGTAATGGTGATGGTGGTAGTAGTAGTGGTGGTGGTGGTGGTAGTAGTGGATTGTTGCTTTACGGTACCAACCAAATATGGCGTCTTATCCTTGACAACACAACACACACACTATTATTATTATTATCATTATTAATGTTATTATCAATATTATTGTTATTATCATAATTATTATTGTTTTTGTTATTATTATTATCATCATCATCATTATTATTATCATTAATATCATTACTACAGACATCCTAGAAGGCAGCGTAGGAATCATCAATAACTACAACCTCTGTCACATGGAGACGATTCTATGGCCTGAGATCATGTCAGATGCCCACGCCAGATACGATTTCGTCTACAACTTCTCCGAGCCGAGAAGATCCTGCCAGTGTGACCAATCCTGTGATAAAGGATGTTGGGGGGAGGGCGAAAACAACTGCCAGAAGTTTAGCAAGTTGACGTGTTCGCCCCAGTGTAGCCAGGGGCGGTGTTATGGACCCGGCCCTAGAGATTGTTGTCATCTCTTCTGTGCTGGAGGCTGTACGGGTCCGACGCAACGGGATTGTTTGGTGAGTGTTTGTGTGTGTGTGTGGTGGGGTGAGTTATTTATGCTTAAAAAACAAAAATATGTATTCTCAAAGCTACACACACACATATTGATTTCATTCACCAGTTCGACGCCTACCATAACCTAAGACTAACCTTCACAAAAGCTGAATGAACACGACACAAAGTATTATTAGTTACAAACTCAATATACCAGTGTGTCCGGTCTTCCACTATGGGAGATTGTGGTTCACTGTCTCCCACACCCACCCACCCACCCGCCCGCCCGCCCACCACACCTGCTCACCTGTCTGATCTAACCTAAGCTAGTTTGACCTGACCTGACCTGACTTACTTGTCTGTCCTAATCCCCCCTCCTCCTCCTTCCCCCTCCTCCCACCCATCAGGTAACACTCGTTTGGGGAGGGGGGGGTGTAAACATACATAGCTCAAGGGGGGAAAAGTGGTTATCAATGAAGCTGGCCAGGTAATAGTGGCCATGTAATGTTAGTGGCCAGGTAGTGATAGCCAGGTAGTGGAGTAGTGGCCACCAAGGAGCTCTGTTGGCCCCCCGGCAGCTGTGTGAATCCATCGACAAAAAAAACCCCGATAAAAAACAGTGGGCAGAATGTATGTGTTTAAGAGCCCATTTGAATAAGAATAGAATCGAGCTGACCAGTTAGCAATTAGGCGGGGCAGTCCTGGCCCACGGCACACACACACACGCACACACTAAGCACACTAAGTCTCTCACCCCACCTCTCCTCCCACACTAGCACTAAATCTCTCCTCCACACTCCACAGAGTCCTCCCCACACACTCCACACCTCCCTCTCTCCCACCACTAAGTCTCTCCTCCCACCTCTCCCACTCCTCCCCTAGCCTCTCCTCCCCTCCTCACTCCTCCACTAGCCCCTCTCCCCACCTCTCTCCTCCCCACTAAGTCTCTCCTCCCACCTCCCTCACTCCTCCACACCTCTCCTCCCACCTCTCACTCCCCACCTCCCTCCCTCCTCCACAGCCCCTCCCTCCACAAGTCTCTCACTCCACCTCTCTCCCCCCCACCCCAAATCTCACCCCACCTCTCACTCCCACTCCCACACGGAGTCTCCACCCACACCAGTCTCTCTCTCCTCCCCCACTGAATCTCTCCCCCACCTCTCTCACTCCCACCACTAAGTCTCCTCCACACCTCCCTCCTCCTCCACCAGCCCTCTCCTCCCCACACCTCTCGCTCCCCTAAACCTCTCCCTCCCTCACTCCTCACCCCTCCTCTCACCCCCACCTCCCCTCCTCCCACACCTCCCCTCACCCACACCTCCCCTCCTCCTCCTCACTCTCCACTAGCCCTCTCACCCCACACCTCTCTCATTCCCCCACTAAGTCTCTCACTCCACACACCTCTCACTCCCCCACTAAGTCTCTCACCCCACACCTCTCACACTCCCCCACTAAGTCTCACATTCCCCCACTAACCCTCTCACTCCTGCACAGGCCTGCAGGAACTTCTACGACGACGGGGAGTGTAAGCTGGAGTGCCCGCCGATGCAACGCTACAACACCATCACGTACTCCTGGGAGGCCAACCCCAACGGCAAGTATGCATACGGCGCCACCTGCGTCAAGAGCTGCCCGGAACACCTGCTCAAAGACAACGGGGCGTGCGTCAGGTCGTGTCCTACGGGGAAGAAGGTCGTCAACGGAGAGTGCGTCCCCTGCAGCGGTCCGTGCCCCAAGACGTGCCCGGGTACGGAGTTCATCCACGCCGGGAACATCGACGACTTTAAAGGTTGTACGATATTCGACGGGGGGCTGACCGTCATGGACCACTCGTTCGCGGGGTATCAGTACGTCTTCCCTAACTACACGTTCGGGCAGAAGTTCCCCAAGATGCACCCGTCTAAACTGGAGATCCTCAGCACGCTCAAGGAGGTCACGGGTTTTATCAACATTCAGGCCACGCATCCGGAGTTCACTAACCTCTCCTTCCTCAGAAACTTGGAGGTCATCGGAGGTCGTGACCTGACCGAGTATTTCTCTTCCATCTACATCATTAAGACTTCCCTCAAAAGTCTTAACCTCAGGTCACTAAAAAGAATTCGATCAGGAAAAGTCTGTATATTAGAGAACAAGGAACTGTGTTTTGTGGAAAAGATAAACTGGAAGAAGTTTTTGGGTAATGGCGACGACACCAAGACCAACCCCCTGACGCTGCTTCAGGCCAACGCTAACAACGACCACTGTGTCGAGGAAGGTCTGGTCTGCCACAACGAGTGTAGCGACGAAGGCTGCTGGGGGATTGGGGACAATGAATGCCTTTCCTGTAGGAACTTCAAGTTGGGCAACAGATGCGTCAACAACTGCAACAATCCCGGGATCTACAACACGGACGACACCGAGTGCGGCTTCTGTCATAACCAATGCGACAACAGCTGCTACGGACCCGACTCCAACCACTGCAGTAGTTGTAAGAACGTTAAAGACGGCCCATACTGCGTGGAGAGATGCCCGGACACCAAGTACGACGGCGGCGGCGAGTGCATACTGTGCCACGAGAACTGCGACGGGGGGTGTAATGGGTCCCAGAACACCATAGGGGAGGACGGCTGTACGTCGTGCAAGAAGGCCGTCATCGACGAGAACCTGGAGGTACAGTACTGCCTCTCGGAGAACGAGCCGTGCCCCAACGGGTACTTCTCCGAGTGGGTGGTACACCAGGAGACCGGTCACCTCAAGAGACTGGCGGGTAAAACTGTCTGCCGCCACTGTCACCCTCGCTGCAAGAACTGTACGGCCTATGGCTTCCACGTCAGCGTGTGTCACGAGTGTGTCAACTACCGCCGGGGGGAACACTGTGAGGACGAGTGCCCTCAGGACCACTACGCTGACGACGAACTCCATGAGTGTTTAAAGGTAAATAAACTCCTGCAGTGTCCTCTCCCACGCTTCATGGTCACAAGTCCCTCTCCCACACTTCATGGTCACAAGTCCCTCTCCCACACTTCATGGCCACACGTCCCTCTCCCACACTTCATGGCCACACGTCCCTCTCCCACACTTCATGGCCACACGTCCCTCTCCAACACTTCATGGCCACACGTCCCTCTCCCACACTTCATGGTCACAAGTCCCTCTCCCACACTTCATGGTCACAAGTCCCTCTCCCACACTTCATGGTCACAAGTCCCTCTCCCACACTTCATGGCCACACATCCCTCTATTTACACTTCATCATCCCATGTTTGTTTTCAACTCTACTGTGAATTAAAAATTTTGTACATATGATAATTAAGATTTAGAACAGTCACAATATACAGTCCAGTCCAGTTCAATACAGTCCAGTTTAATAGTCTAGTCCAATACAGTCTAGTACAGTTCAGCCCAGTCAATTCCAGTCCAGTCCATTCCAGTTCCCTTATTAGGATATTGAACCCTCAGTCTCCCTACGTCATTCCAGCAAGTTCTCACACAACATTTCCCGATGGTTTTATGTTCCAGTGCTCATCGGAGTGTTCCAATGGCTGTTCCGGACCACTGGAGTCGGAGTGCCAGACGTGTCGTAACTACAGGATCTATCTGGTGGGTGAACCTCGGATGAACAACACCAGATTCACCTGTACAGCCTCTTGTCCTGCCGAACTACCCTACAAGATCTTCCCGGAGGACGCCTCGGACCCCTACTGTGGCAAGGACCCTCTGCCGATACCCTTGTAAGTATGGCGTTAGGTTAGGTTAGGGTTTGGTTAGGGTTGGATTTTGAAAGTTATTAGACAGCTTTAATTGGAAGTCAGCGTAATTCGATCAAGAATGGGTTAATGGGAATCATTGATGGGTGAGCAAAAAGAATCCTGTTCAATACTATCTGATTTTTCTTCAGTAGGAACAGTTACTAGATAAACAGATTCATAAATTACTCTGGGTATAACTTCACTATTATCATCCTCACTAGATATAACCTTACTTGCCAGCTGGTCGGGAAACACGCCATCTGCCGGGACCACAATGCAATATATTGACCACGATACAATTGTTTGTTTTTATGTCTGGTGTATATACAGTCCCCTGCATATATATTACTGTGTTATAGCACCATACATGTATAAAGGAATTGTTTATTTATGCCGGTCGGTAAATTTCGTCGCTGTCGGAGATAAATAAAAAACATCGGAGTCTGAGAGTAATTTTGACGTCGACAGGGACGACGAGAGCATCCCGGCCATCTTGGGGGGAACTCTGGGGTGCGTGTTCCTCCTGTGTACCTTCCTGGCCGTGTTCTGTTACCTGTGGTGGCAGCGGAACAAGACCAAGGAGGCGGCGTTGAAGATGACCATGACAATGATGCCCTACGACGACAACGAGCCGCTCAAGCCGACCAACATCAAGCCTAACCTGGCCAAGCTGCGGATCGTGAAAGAGGCCGAACTGCGCAAGGGCGGGATACTCGGGTACGGCGCCTTTGGTACCGTCTATAAGGGCGTCTGGGTGCCCGAAGGAGAGAACGTCAAGATCCCCGTAGCCATAAAGGTGTTACGCGAAGGTAAGAGACATCAGTGGTGTAAAGTTAATATTGGTGTTAACTTCACAAGACACCAAATACAATTCCCTTTCTAATTGTTACAGAGTTTTACATAGTTTCTTGTGTCATTTGGAACCCCAGACATTCACCAGCTTTATAAAAATTACCTCAAAAGTCTCATTAGCATTCCTAGTTTTTTTTATATAACAAATTAATAACTTATCAATTATTAAAACATAACCTAACCAATTATTTATTTTTTTAACATCTTATAGTATTGTTGTTGTGTTATACATTAGCAGTAGAGAAATTGTGTCTGTTTTTGGGGGTAATCCTAAACCTGTTGTTAAGATGTAATTGATCGTTCATGGTCGTTGTTAACATATAAATAGTAGGAACACAAAAGGGGTCAGGTAGTATCATATCTCAAACCTTCCCCACACAACCCCCCCCCTCCTTAAGAAGTTACCCCTCCCCCTGCCCTCCTGAAGAAGTTACTCCTCCCCTCCTGAAGAAGTTACCACAGTACCCCCCCACTCCTCCTCAGGTACCGGGACAAACGTGAACAAGGAGATCCTAGAGGAGGCATATATCATGGCGTCCGTGGATCATCCCAACCTTCTGCAGCTGCTGGCCGTGTGTATGACCACCCAGATCATGTTGGTGACGCAGCTGATGCCTCTCGGATGCCTTCTAGATTATGTCCGCAATAACAAAGACAAGGTAAGGTCCCCGCTGGTGAATTTGACGTTTGTTCTTTTGTGTGTGTGCCGTTTATGTTTTTCCTTGTTTGTGCGTTTAGATCTGTTTTTTTCTCGAGGTGAATTTTACGTTTTTTTGTAGCGTTTACGTTCTTTCTTACTCTTAGATCTATTTTTTATCTCTTGAAATAAAACCTCTGACGTTTTTTAGGCACCGTTTACATTCTTCCTTACGTTTGGATCTGTTTTTTTCTCATGATAAAAAAAAACCTCCTGATGTTTTTTTCCGTTTGCCAGATTGGATCCAAGCCACTTCTAAACTGGTGTACCCAAATTGCTCGAGGGATGACTTATCTGGAAGACCGCAGGCTGGTACATCGTGACCTAGCAGCCAGAAATGTCCTGGTGCAGACGCCCAACTGTGTCAAGATCACGGACTTCGGTTTGGCTAAACTCTTGGACTACAATGAGGATGAATACAAGGCTGCGGGAGGAAAGATGCCCATTAAGTGGTTGGCTTTGGAGTGTATACAACATAGGATCTTCACCCATAAGTCTGATGTTTGGGCTTTTGGTAAGTTATATTAAGATAACATTTACGATATATTAAGATAACATTACTAAGGTTTATTTAAAGATAAGTCTGTCTAAAGGTGATCTTATATAGTATAGTTATTAATGACTGATTTTACTTTTGCGTCTAGGGGTGACAGTGTGGGAAATCTTGGCATATGGCGGACGGCCTTATGAGGACATCCCGGCCAGAGAAGTCCCGGACCTGTTAGAGAAAGGTGAACGTCTACCCCAGCCGGCCATCTGTACCATCGACGTCTACATGCTCATGATCCGCTGTTGGATGCTGGACGCCGAGAGCCGGCCGAGTTTTCGCGAGCTGGCCGAGGAGTTCGCCAAAATGGCCCGAGACCCGGGACGTTTCCTGGTCATCCCGGGCGATAAGCTGATGCGCCTCCCATCTTACACCCCCCAGGACGAGAGGGAGCTGATTCGTTCCCTCTCGTCGGCCATCGAGGGCGAAGGCATCGTCATGGCCGCCGAGGAATACCTCCAGCCCAAATACAGCGGAGGCAGCATCGGCCTAACCGCAACAACCACCACTTCCTCGACCTCAACGTCCGATCCCACCACCCCGGTCAAGAAAACCGCCGGGTACGCTATAGGTACCGGAGCCGAATACATCTCCGGAAGGGCGGAGTCGCCCCAGAACCGCCACAACCTACAGAGGGAGAGGAAGTATGCTCATCTGGAGGCCGGGGCCGTGGGATCCCCGGGACAGAGGCCGAGGGGCGACTCGCTCACCTCCCGGTACTGCTCTGACCCTCTTAAGATGCTCGGTAAAGGTCTGTATTGTGTGCATTTTGGAGTCCCCTACTTTTGTTTTTCATTGCACCACATAATGTTCTCTCTTACACCACATAGCTTAATATTCTCTTACACTACATAACTTAGTGTTCTATGCATTATCACCACCAGCTGCATTATCACCACCAGCTGCATTATCACCATCAGCCGCATTATTTTATTGATGATTATTAATGTTGATTATTATTGTTAATTATTTGTTGTTTACAAGACTATAAAAACATGATATTGTATTAACACTCCTGATTGGTCACACTCTTAGATGGTAACACCCCTAATTGCTGACCCTCGTTACAGATGTTGGCGATGACGACTGTTTTAACGGTCACAGTCCACCTGCGTCAACGCCCGGTTACGGTTGGGTCGGTGATCTGAGGCTCGATCTACCCGTTGATGAGGACGACTATTTGATGCCTTCACCACAGTCTTCTGGTCTGGCTACTATTGGCCCCTCACACCAACACTATATGGACCTTATGCCTGATGCTCCTGGTATGTTAAGTGGCAGTAGTAGTAGTAGTAGTAGTAGTAGTAGTAGTATCATTATTATCATTATTATTAGTGTTATTCTCATCATCATTTATATATCATAATAATGTATAATATTAATGTATAGTACCTGGTAACTTCCCAACATAAAACGAATCTTGTAAATAAATAGGACGGCGTATAATGTTAAATAATTATTCCAGACGGACGCAGACACGACCACAACCAGCCGTGCGGATTCAAGGGCTCCAATGGTACCATCGGGCAGCAGTGGGTAGGCATGGACAACCCGGAATACCACATGATGAACGCCCGGGCACAGATGTACGCCGGGAGACGCATCCATCCCCAGCAGACGGTTGGGGTCCCCGTGCTGGAGTCTGGACGCTTCAACAGCTACGGCGGGGGCAGCAGCGGTCACAGCAGCGTCAGCAGTAACGGCCTCCCGCACCACCAGCAGCAGCACCCGGCACAGGACTTACCACACGAATACTACAACGAACTGTCGCCTCATTCGCCCCATGCCCTGGTGGCGCGGAGTGAAACTACGGTCTGAGTGTCGAGATATTAACTCGCCCGTTCTGACCCCTAAGGTGAACTTCATCACACACTAAGGAGTCAGTCTAGCGAGTTAGAGTGCGTGAATTACCCATCCCCCCGGACTTATCAAAGTGTGCGTTCTGTATTCCTCTTACCCCTTCCCAAGTGCCGGTAATAAAGTGCGATGAGAATATAGACTCGTGTCGTAACGGATATTCAGAACGGGGTAACGAGGACGAAGGATCCTTAAAGAGTGTGGGTGTGTGTTGGGGGGGGGGGCGGGTGACATTCGGAAAAGTCCTTGCCAAAACGATAGTGTCAATACAGTGCAAAACAAAACAAAAAACAAAACAATCATTCTGGTGTGGAGAACAAACCATCATGACTAAACTCCCTCAAGACAATAATACAACAGGTTATTATTCCACTCCTAACCCACTTCTAACGATGTGTTCACTTCTAACTATGTGTCCACTCCTAACTATGTGATATATAACAATGCCAATTTCATAACTATACATGTAAACGATGGTCGTTCAACACCGCATCTCTAACCCGACGTCTTGAGTGGACTGCGGACTCGACCGGACTGTGACTAGTCCACGTCTCAGAGCTCCAAAATGGCTCTAGTCCACGTCTCAGAGCTCCAAAATGGCTCGCCGTTATTTCTGTGATTTTATATATAGTCTTGGCTATTTTGTTGCTAGTGTTGCAATAGAATTAATAGAAAAAGCCTTTTGGGTGAATATAACTCATGGGGAGGGGGGGGGGGAGAAGCTTGTAATTAGTGATGATGATGATATTAACAGCCGTTGACCTTGTTGTACAGGTAGTGACCCAGCGAGAACCACCGTGTGACCTTAAACGGTCTTGGCCGAGGTTATTGGTTCGTATTTATCACGGGAGATAGTCGTTGACGAGTTAAATGACTTCGTTGCGATTAATGGTAGTTATGGCCGGGTTTATTCCGAGTAATCATGGCCATGTACTCTGGCAAATGATTAAGCATACTCAAACACCCACAACACAGCATTTAACCAATTTATTCTCGAGGTTAATCATCGCTACGTAAACGTCCATCTCTGCGTCTTAACGATCGTAACGTGGCAAATTGACTTTTCCCACATGGTGTTATTGGTCAGGTTGGCTTAGGTTAGGTTAGTCCCAGGGCACAGTCTTGCCTCCCAACGTCAGGATTGCCCAAACGTCTTGTAAAAATGCGCGATCAGCATTAAGTCAGCCTCAGTGCGGTGTGGAAACGGCATACAAGCAACTCATCCGTTGGTAAGTACTGTATAGTTAAACGATGTTATTGAATTGCTCTCTCGAGTGTAACGGTCGTTGGGTTTCCGTGTATAAATAAATATGTATAGTATCGAACTGCTCTTTGTTGCCAAGTTTATTCCCGGTCACCTTGAAATAAAAATAAATAATAATAACGTGTTTCCGGAAATGCTAAAAAAAAAAAAAAATCAACAGCATTCGTAAGTGTTCATGGTGCCAAAAGTTCCCTATACTCCGTGTGTATATATATATCTCTAATCTGCCGTCTTCTTCTTAGGCAGACCAAGTAGTTGCCATTTTTAAAATTATATCCCCCCCCATCCCCCCTGGAAAATAATAGTTTAATTGATGAACTAGAGGAATGGGTCTTTAAAAAATGTCATTTGATAATTTCTTCACAAATCTTTTTAAATAAGTCTGTGCTGAATGAGACTTTTGACTTGTTTATACGTTTGAATGTTTTTATTTGGATACAAGTTTAAATTTTTGATCGTATAATTTCAGTGATTAGGTTATTGACGCCCTGTTTTCTTCATCCGCTCGATAGATTATTGTCGGAATCCGTCTTTTAGGTTGAATGAATCGTTAAACGGCACTACTCCGTACGTCCATCCGTCTATTTGTTTACTGTCGAGGTGACACTGTGGTATAAAGTACAAATCATTTCTTCCATTCACCCATTCCAGCTCCTGTGCTTGGTCTGTCGGATATGCACAAATATTATCCCCTTAGAAAAGTCAACGTCGACAGCCCGTGCAATACTCTCAAGTGCGTAAATATAGCTGTCAGTTAGCTTAATATTTCCATGTAAGAAATTCCTGGTAGCTTTGAGCTTTTTTTTTTTTAAGGACACAAGACTTTTGTTTTTAATTTCACTGACAGTGGTATTGTAGAAAACCCTCTGTCTGTCTGTATGTATTTTTAGTTTTCCTGTTCAATGTACAGTGTTTTATATATGTGTTTTTGTAGGATTTTTTTTTAATGATGTCTGACGTGTTTGGACTGATGGGCGGCCATACAACACATTCCCCTGTAGCCATATTTTAATACTGACAATGGCAATTTACTTTTTTAACTTTTTTAGTGTTTGATATTTTCACTTACAAATATCTAAATACTTGTTATGATTTGTTTATGAATTACTTGTGTATTAGTGATGTCCTGAACGATCTAAAATTGACATTGAAAAAGATATGAAATACATGAGGACTTCACACGAACATCAATTAAAGAAATTGTATTTTTTTTCTCTACTTTAAAATACTGTTGAGTTTTAACCCCCGTCTAATCCACTACACAAAAATAATGTACAGTACAATAATTGTATGATATATTATAACATGTTGGCCAAATACAGAGGTCTCAAAAAGTGGCCGCTCGTAAGGAACCGTGGGAACTTTTTGATTCATCTGGGAAACTTTTCCTTCTTACTCTACTCAGTCAGGGACCTGTAAAAAATATATAAATATCCAACTCGAAAGTTCTATGCCGGATAAATGTGAACTATGGCGTCTTCAGTACGTGACCCATATTTAAAAACGTACAGTAGACCCCCTTGCTATTCGTGGGGGGTTTTAAGTACCAAGAAATGGCGACGAATTGGCAAAAAACCGCGAATAGAGACTCGTACTACCTCCGTGCATTACTATATACGTATATTGTGTATGGGAAATACTTAAAAGTCGCCAATAATAACTCTCCTTTGTATGTTGAAGCCTGGAGCATGATGGAGTGATGTACAGTATGTTAGGTTGAGACATCTGGTTAGGTTAGGTTAGGGCGATCATCAGGGTCACTGTTGGAAGAGGGTGATGCAGTGGGGGCGACTCGTAAGCTAGCCACCACCATCTACCCACCCCAAATCCCGAATAGCTAACCCACAAATAGCAAGAGTTTACTGTATGTTGTAAGCGTATCATAAACAAGTTCAGGTTTCTAAAGTCGTCTTATTGCATTGTGGGATGACTTTATCGCCCTAAGTTCCGGAACAAGACAAAATAATGGGATGAGTTAGATCTCTACGTCCCAGCCATTGGTACAAAAAAAAAGTTATATTTTTTACGTCCATTAAATAATGAAAAGTTAAGTGTGATCGGTGACGTGGCACTTTTAGTAATAATCGATAATCAAAACAAAATTTCTCCGCTGAGTGATCGATCAAAAATAAATAAAAATCCACATTATTGATCAGTTTATCTTCCATATTTCTTTATAGAACATTATTGTAAATATTGGGGCTGTAAATTGTAAAGTATTTTTAGAGCAGAATTCATCACTTATATTTCAATACCATAAGTGTTTGTGTTTTTTACTTGTACTTAATAGGAGTTATGTACTTATATTTACAAGTAGATTCTTCCTGACTTTGGTAGAATCTTATCGTGTTAATATTGAGAACTAGCCAGTGTGGTAGAGCTAGTGTGGTAGAGCCAGTGTCATCCACCTGGTGTTATAGAGAATGATTGATGCATATTACACCGGCGGCTGACACTGGCACTATGAGATGGTGTAGTCATCAAGAGTGGCAGGTAATGGTTGTTGACTGATGCCTTACTGAGACGAGAGATAATGTAAACATACCACAATTTTTTGCAATAAAAGGCTCACTATGATGTGTTTATTTATTATCTCTTACTCCCTGTTGGTTTACACATACATACATACACACACAACAGTGCTACACATACATACACACACAACAGTGCTACACATACATACACACACACAACAGTGCTACACATACATACACACACAACAGTGCTACACATACATACACACACAACAGTGCTACACACACACAAAACAATGCTACACACATACAGTAATGTCTCTGTTACTCGGAACAAATGGTCCACAACACTTCCAGGAACTATAGACTTCCGGATAACAAGGAGACTATCCCCATCCCCGGAAAAATATCCCCCATCTCCGGAATTTTCTGGATAATTCCGGCTTTGGGGGAGATTTTCCGAGAAAGTTTTAATTCCGGCCATCGGAGAATTCTGAGCTTGAGGGATTCTGTGTAACGGAGATATTACTGTACCCACAACACACAACCAAATAAGATGAAGGAAATACAGAGAAGCTTCGTAAACAGAAACTATAGTTGTAACTTAACTTAACCTAACCTTAGCTTAACCTAAACCACAGATGACCAAAGGAGGCAGCTGTAAGATAGATCCGAGTCTTGATCTCCTTGATGATGTTATACTGAGGAGAGAGAGAACACCAATGAGGAAGGTAAAATTGTTCTAGTGCTTGTTTGACAGGTGGTGTAAGTCTTGATCTCCTTGATGATGTTATACTGAGGAGAGAGAGAACACCAATGAGGAAGGTAAAATTGTTCTAGTGCTTGTTTGACAGGTGGTGTAAGTCTTGATCTCCTTGATGATGTTATACTGAGGAGAGAGAGAACACCAATGAGGAAGGTAAAATTGTTCTAGTGCTTGTTTGACAGGTGGTGTAAGTCTTGATCTCCTTGATGATGTTATACTGAGGAGAGAGAACACCAATGAGGAAGGTAAAATTGTTCTAGTGCTTGTTTGACAGGTGGTGTATCTCTCTGTCTGTGTGTGTGTGTGTTTGTGTGCCTGTGTCTCTGTATTGTGTGTGTGTGTGTACGTGCGTGTATTGTCTGTATGTGCTGTCATAACGTGCAGACTTTAAGACAGTCTTCAGTACCTCTAGACCCTTTCAGTCCCCACACGTCCTGTCAAGCCCTCACTATGAGACTGTGTGTGACTGCTAGGAGCTGTGTGTGGGTGCTAGGGGCTGTGTGTGGGTGCTAGGGGCTGTGTGGCTGCTAGGGGCTGTGTGTGGGGTGCTAGGGGCTGTGTGTGGCTGCTAGGGGCTGTGTGTGGCTGCTAGGGGCTGTGTGTGGGGTGCTGCTATGTGTGGCTGGCTGTGTGTGCTGCTAGGGGCTGTGGCTGCTGTGTGGCTGCTAGGGGCTGTGTGTGGGTGCTAGGGGCTGTGTGTGGCTGCTAGGGGCTGCTGTGTGGGTGCTAGGGGCTGTGTGTGGCTGCTAGGGGCTGTGTGGCTGCTAGGGGCTGTGTGTGGGTGCTAGGACTCATCTTTGATTGCCGGGGGAGACGATTACTGCGCACCGTAACGCTTGGTGGAGCACCACACGAGAAGGTGTCAATACCTTCGAGTTAGCCCGACTGCATACCGAGGCAGACAAGCGCCACTGCAGGAAACACTGTGCCACCGCTGGAGGTATAAACTCACGTCCAGGGAGCATTAGAGACATGCTCTCTCAGTAATGCTCTACCAATCTCTCTCTACTGTGTGAGAAGTGGGTGTCAGTGTGGCTGATGTTTATCTTTCTGAACCCTACCATGAGGGGGTTGTCTCTAAGGGGTTATTTACACTATTATGACAATATAGCAAGATCTATAGAAGTGTTAGAATATATGGTAATATAGTATGATACACACAATATGTCACTATAACACACCATAACAATGTCACTATAACAATATGTCACTATAACACCATAATATGTCACTATAACACACCATAACAATATGTCACTGTAACACACCATCACCTCCTATAAATCAGCAGATTCTTCCTCCAGGATCACATGAACATCAGACTGAGCTTGTCTCATCTGTAAGAGAGAGAGAGAGAGAGGTTAAAATAATCTACATCAGAGGAATACATCACGGTGTAGATAACTAATCACTTTAACATTATCTAAACAGCCTAAGCATTCTATAATATATTTCCTCTACGTTTTCATATATCTTAAAATTAATAAAAAAAAAAACCCCTTTGGTAATTGTGATGTAAATAACTTGAAATGATATCTATAGGTTAGGTTAGGTTAGGTTAGGTTAGGTTAGGTTAGGTTAGGTTTGGTTAGGTTAGGTTAGGTTAGGTCAGGTTAGGGTAGGGTAGGGTAGGTTTAGGTTAGTGTTACCCCTGCGAGTAACAAGGATTTACTGTTTTCTGCATTCCCGGAAAAAATTATTATTACACTTACACAAACACTAGAAACTAACTCAAACAAATACAACAAACTAACTCAGACAAACACAAACTAACTCAAACAAACACAAACTAACTCAAACAAACACAAACTAACTCGCCTTTAGGTATTGAGAACGGATAATCAAGATGTAGATGGCTTCTACGGCAGCGAGTAGGAACACGGCCGACAACAGTATGAGGATAACAAGGGGCATGTAGAAATACAGCACAACGACACAAACAGAGAAGGCGAGGAACGTGGCCAGCCGGACGCAGCTCCAGAGTATATAAGGTAACATTAACCTGTGTCGTTCCTGAGGGTAAAATACAGTTATATTATAGGTATGTATAAACTGTAATGCATCTCTATATACAGGGAGTATCTATCTAACTACCTCTATATACAGTATCTCTATATATATCTACCTATCTGTATATAAAGTACAGTATATCTAATAGGTCTTTACTCTAGCCACAAGTTAATACGTAGCCACAATTCCTTCGATTTCCGTTACATGTAAAATTTAACATTGTCGCCTCTTTCTCTTTTATCTCCGAGTTAACATTGTGAAGACCTGTGAACACTCTCGACCAAAAACATCCCCAACACCAGAATGAGAATGGGGGAAATGGGGGGGTATGAGGAGAGTGAGGAGAATGGGGGCATGTCATCTAGGAATGGTTACAGATTATCAGTTCATTATTTTTCAGATTGTTTAGTGTTCATAGTTGGGGGACGCTTTTGGAGAGTGTGTGTGGTACTTCTGTGATCTTTTACACTGATGTGGGAATACTGTACTGTACACTGTAATTACTACAGAAATTTGCGGAGAATTCAGGCAAATTCTGTAAGACTTTCTTTACTCTTGAGGCAGCTACATATAACAGAAGGAAAGTACAGTCGATGTCACTGATGTTTTTTGTTGTTTCTTAAGGGTAACAGCCCACACAGGCACAGGTTATCAACGGGGCCTAGGGGGCGAAAATATAGGAGTAAAAAGAAATTAAAAATAGAAAAGAAAAAGATTATGTTAATCTACACCACAAAGATGACAGACAACCAGGTTTAGAAGTGAGACAGATTGTATGAGTATGGAAACAGAAGAAGGCAGAGCATTCCACAGTTTGTCTGTGTGAGGAAAGAAGGAGGTACTATAACGGGTTATTATAGTGTGACCGACAGCCACAGATAAAAGGTGGGCACCGTGGGCAAGACGAGTGTTACGAGCCCACGGCCTTGCCGGCGGTACACAGGATGCCAAATCTACCGAACATTGCCCGTTAAAGTATCTGTAAAAGAGAGAGAGTGAAGCAACATTGTGGTGAAGAGAAAGGGAAGAAAGATTATCAAATAAAGGAGGAGAGTTAATAAGCCTTTGATTCCACCCTATCTAACAGTTGAAGAGCCACCCCAGATATGAGAGCAGTACTCCAAGTTAGGAACAATGAATCCCTTATATACCTGAAGCAACTGCTCAGGAGTGAAGTAGCTATGGCATCTGTACAGCATACCCAGCTTTCGGGAGGCAGCTTTAGCAATGTTGTGGATGTGTGGCTTCTATGACATTAGAGGAAATGGTGAGGCCTAGCATATCTATTTTAGAACTTGGCAGAATGTTTGAGTCCTTAAATGTGATTGGCCAGGTTAGGTGAAGGGGACTGCACCTAGGCTATATGACGAGCCCCCTGTTAACACACTAGTGAAGGGGACTGTACCTAGGCTATATGACGAGCCCCTGTAAACACACTAGTGAAGGGGACTGTACCTAGGCTATATGACGAGCCCCTGTAAACACACTAGTGAAGGGGACTGTACATCTAGCAGAGTACATACTGTATACTTAGTGATAATTATACATACGAATAGATAAAATACACTTAGGGTAATTAAAACAGCAAGAGAGTTACCTTATAGATCCCATAAATCAACATAGAGCAAGCAATAACCTGGATGCTCTCAGCCAGCAACAGAGCGACAGCAAAATACACCGCTGGAAACAAGGCCGTTCGTCAGTATAAACAAACACTCATCGTAGTTATGTAGTTATAGATTTTGTCAATAGAGATCTTTCTATTCTAAACTTCACATTCCTCCTAGCATGAGTCAGTTACTAGCCATATGAACCTATCCAAGTCAATTGTAATATAACTGAACTGAACTAATTTTGAACGCCAAGATTGTACAGTGTATTTACCATATCCGAGAGATTAATGTCAATGTGTAATGTTATACTGTACTGCCATTTAATAATTACTACACTGAACGTTGCCGTAAGAGGTTATATATTTTGGGGGTATTTATATTGTGATTTTTATTTATCCTTATTATAATACTGTGTAATACTGTTTAATACTGTATAATACTGTATAGGTATGGAAATTAATCAGTGTAGGTATGAGTAAACTATGTAAATGCTGATAAACACCAAGTCCCCAAGCGTTTGCGTGTAATTTACATTTTCAGGTGTGAGGATAGTAAAGTATAAAGGTAAATATATAAGAATTAATAGTTTAAATACAGCATCATACAGATTATACACCTGTTACAACTCATACAGTGCTATACACTGCTATATGACCAGAACTCTCACATACAGAACACCACAATTGAACTAGCTCTGTTGTCTTTGAAATGAAAACTTATATTAAAAAAAAATTGATGGATAAATTCTGAAATTCAGTTTTATAATGGTACTAAAGATTCTCCATGTATACCTGGTTATACAGTAGTGAAAAATTCCAATTAGACTCGAAAAACAGAAATTACAATCCTGATAAACTGGGGATATGGAGCAAGGACTAATTGGTGAAGTAAGTGTGTATGTAGTGTGAGAAGTAAGTGTGTAAGTGTGTGTAAGTGTGTGTGTGTGTGTGTGTGTGTAGTGTGTGTATCCCAATACCTCATAACAAGCTATAAAACAGGTATCAATATCAAACAACCTTCAGTTCCCAACTCACTTCCACATCTCTAATGAAAGGCAGCAAAATCTAGTAACTAACACACTGGATCATGTAACATATATGTATACACGGTTATCCAATAAGCCTCCGTGTAATGATGAACAGGGGTACAGATGTTCATTCACCTATCCTGAAGGTTGGATTATAATAACACCCCCCTATCCCCACCACAGTTTGTAACAATATATGTCTAATAACTATGTGGTAATTTTAAAGGTAAAGATCTAATTATACTACAGGCAAGACCACAGGACAAAAATACGAGAGATCACTTGCAACAGATAGTAATCCTAACATCCTTAAACTTCCAGATCTTTGTGATTAGCTCTACAGGTCTGTTTCATTTATACTGTACCAATAAAACTATTTAATTCACATTTAATTTATATTTAATATTTGTTTAATTTAAGTTTCTAGCAGTCAATGGTCCTTTAGAGACACAGGAGGTGTATTATTAGTAGATCAGAGGTGTACGGTATTGTTGAATTATTGTTACCTGACCTCGGTTGGTCCGGCAAAACGGATAATCCGGCAAGGCTTTGGAACCAAGGGTGCCGGAAAATCGGTGAATAATATGTTCTGATAATATAATATTGTACAGTATGTCCCAGTATGTCACCACCAGAGCTACAGTTATTGAGATGTGTCCAGAACTCTTCCTGGTAGAGCTGTGTATGTCCTGTAATACTGTCCATAATTGTAGGTCGTAAATATTGCATTGTTTAACATCAGTAATTACTACAATAATTACATCACAAATCAGAGCATATATAAGTTTATTTAAAGGATTGATAGACCACAAATAAATAATAAACACCCAGAAATAAATTATCAAAACTGAATACTTGTAATGATTTTGTTTAGCTTTTCTACAGAATCGAAGTCAATAGCAAGGAATGTTTATAAATGATTGAGGTAAAACATCATTTATTACAGCCTTGTCTACCAGTGTGTATAAATAAACACTGAATCTACCTTTATATAATGCATCTAGAACTACATAAACATAGGGTTAAGTTGGTGTAGATATTACCTATTATTACTACTAAATATATCATTTGTATGTATATCTATTTTAAAACATCTTCCTCAAGGGGTTAAATCATCATCATGAAAGGGTTCTACCATCTTCTGCAAAGGGTTAAATCACCATCATCAACGGGTAAACCATCATTCTCAAAGGGTTATTTAAAGCATTACCGTATCTTATTAGCCCAGAATAACGCCCAATGGCCACTCTATTTACCAGGCGTGAGATACAGCTGTAATAATATACCGCAGGAGGTGGAATGAGTGAAGTGTACCTTCGTTAAAATAATCTCTTATAAGACTGGCAGCACTAAACTAAAATATAATCAATTATTAACCCTAGTATGACTAATCAAAGCTTTATGTACTAGTATAGGTAAAAACAAATTATTAATGTTAATAACTAACTACTTAATTGCAATATTCTCATTAGATCTGGACCATTGGCCTAAAAAATATGAAAAAATAAAAAAGAATCGCTGTTACATCGTTCATTGACCCCATAACTATCTTTGCGTTAGGTTCAACAGGATATCAAAATGAACACCCCATTCCTGTTGACGAAGTACAGTTATCAAATCCCCAGTCCATTGCGTCTTCCTACTATAAAATCGCGATGAAAATTTTTTGTAGCAAGTCTTCGTGTATATACTGTACAACCTCTACATGGTTAAGAGGATTACAAGATTTACAGTATGGTGTATATATATTACTATCCTTTTATTAATTCAGAATCTCTTAATACAAATACAGTATTGCCCCGCCTAACGCGGTTTCACTTAACGCGTTTTATCATATACGCGGTGCCTCGCCAGAGCTGAACTTTCACTTAACGCGGAATTTTTCATCATATACGCGGGAAGCGGCGCGGGCACGATGCGCACAAGGTCGCCCAGTCATCAAAACATTACCGAGTTCTTCACCCGCCACCCACCACAGCCGGCCCAAGTCAGTGATAGTGATAATTATAGTGAGGATATGGACTTATATGGCCTTTGAGGGGTTTGACAAAGAGGCCCTGCAAGCCTCTGTGGTGGATAGTGATACAATTGATACAAGTGATACAGGTGAGGGCCAATAATCTGCCCTCTGCCTCGGAACCAACCCCCCATCCCCGTGTGCCCAGCCATCTTTTCTACTAATGCAAGTGTTAAAAAACCTAATATTATTGATATTTCTCTTAATTATTAATTGTGTGTGCATACCATCATAAAGTTAAGATAAAATTTTTACTACAACATAGTTGTGTGTCGTCAAAAAGTGGAGTTTGGGGGTCGGGCCAGTCTCTATTGGAATTAATCCCATATGTTCTGTTGTTCACTTAACGCGGTTTTCACTTAACGCGGTACCCTGTGGGTTCAATTGACCGCGTTAAGCGGGGTACTACTGTATTGTAAAAATACAGTAGTACCCTTAATAGATAAATAAACTCAGTTGTATATTTATTACGAACGCTCGACTTACGAACATCTGATTTACGAACGCCCGCCAATATGAACGAGGTTAAACTATAAATTTCCAGTATTTTATTTACTTGATGACTCATTGTATTTCTTCTTTTGTGATAAATTAAGTTATTATAGATGTACTGTATATAAGGACTTGGGCTATGATATAGTAGTGGTATTTTAAACATAGCAAGAGTTCCCACTTATGTACAAATACGACTTAACAACGTCCTCGGGAACCTAACCTAGCCCGGGGACCCCCTGTACCATACAGTGTCTGACAAAGAGTAAACTTACCAGAGTGAGAAGTATCGTATTGACACTCTTCACTTTCAACATCTTTCAAACAGCTGATTATTTTTAACCTCCCAAACATGCTGACTACAACAGCGAGCGTTCCAGCGCAGCCATTGATAATATCCAGTACGGCTCCCACCTGAAATATATTCTTTTTGAAATAAAGGAATAAAATTCATCTGTAAAAAAAACAAATCTTTCGGACATTCAATACAAGAGTCGACATAAGGAAAGCCGCCACACAAAAATTTAATACTTTACAACATCAACAATAATAGATCTAACGTTAAAATAAAATAATTCCTAAATAATAATAAAATACAATGATTCACTCGGACTATCTAAAACAAACTTGTCCGTCATCACAAACTCAACACAAATAATATGTTACCAGAGCCAGTGACCCGACGACCAGACTCCCAGTACGTAAACTGCTGCCACAACACCTCTCAGGCTGCCAGATCTTCATTATTACTATCCTGAAAAATGTTGAGTACAAATATTGAGTACAAATAAAAATCCTGACTATACAAAAGACAGGAAAAATAATACAGTTCTCTCATTTCTCTAGATTAAGGGCGGAAAAAATATTAAAAAAATGTATCACGTCACACAATATATATTCCTTGTTTACTTTTGGTTATTTTCATGGAGGATTTATTGTCCTCGCATTGGCGGTTAAAGCAAGCAATGGTCATCAAATATTACCCCCAAAATAATTCAAAAGTTATTACTGTATTGCTGTTTTTTAGCGAACATGAAAATATATACTGTACCTGTACAGTAATATCCCCGTTAGTTACAACAGTTGGTGCAGAACACTTCCGGTAATGAGAGATTTCCCGGTAACAAGACGAGTCTCACAAAACTGGAAAAATATCCCCCATCCCCAGAATTTTCTGGGTATCTTGAAAATTTTCTCAGAATTTTCCGGAAAATCTGCCCCTCGGAAAATCGTTCCCAAAGCCGTAATTTTCCGGAAAATTTCAGCCTTGGGAACGATTTTCCGAGAAAATTAAAATTCCGGCCATCGGAGAGTTCCGGGTTAGAGGGAATCTAGGTAATGGAGATATTACTGTACCGTTATTATTATCGTAATATTTATTAACATTTAGAGACACTTTGCGCTGCTTAAGTAAATGATGAAGTCAGTCTGGTATGGTAGGTGGCAGCAGCAGTGTCTATGTTCAAGAGAAAACCTTTGAACGAGACCAGAATAAGAATATTTTACTTTACCTTCTCCGCTACACGTCAACATTCTAACTGCTCCCCTCTCCAATTTACTTTAATCTTGATGAAGGAAATTGTTTTAATATATAATTTATTTTGTTAGGTAAATGTTTAAGTCAGACCATTGTGCTTATATATTACAACATTGATCGATCGTATGCATAAATTTCATCATATTGTCTCAATCGACGGTCTAAAAATTGCGCTCGTGACATCGGCTTTTGCTCAAGGTTAGATTTAGTTAGGTTAGCTTTGGTTAGGTTAGGTTTAATTTAGAAATAACAACATTTTAACACATTTTCTCAAACTAAAATAAAAATACCACATATATAATATTATTTTCAATAAAAAAAACCAAGAGGCAGGAATCTCATCAATATATATCCATAACTTTCCACCGTAACCTAACTTAACTTAACTTTCCACCATAACCTAACCTAACCTAACCTAACCAAACCTAACCTAACCAAACCAAACAAAGTAACCAAACATAATCTAACCAAACAAAGTAACCAAACCTAACTTTCCAACATGACATGACCTAACCTAACCATATAACAGTCTCCAGAGTACACAATTAAGGTACAATAACCACATCCCCCAAAAAATTAAAATCTCACCACTAACATTACCCCAAATTATCCTAACTACTACCATCACAGTAATGACTCTATAAACGATCATTAAACCACAAATTAAACCATCAAATGACCCCGACTAAACTATCATCAACTACCCATGGCATTTCCGATACAATTTCTTCCTAAAATGAAAAACCCAAATTAATATTAAAATAAATTATTAAAAATCCCTCAAACTTAATCACTATGTATATTACAATTAACTTAAATAGGGCAATTAACGTCATTTACCTGTAGAAATAAGAGCTGTAGACACACCTGACACACCTGACACACCTGAGATTGACTAATAGATTAAAGTAACTAAACAAGTGAGAGAAAACGTGATGTAGAGGAGAGGTTTGAGGGTTAACTATATCTCTAAGTCTCTTATTCTTTCAATTATTTACGTCTCATCCAATCAGTGGAGTTAATTATCGTTGGGTTTAATTATTAGTTAGTGGTTTAATTGGATTATTGACTGTTGGGAAGAATATATCAGTAAAATGAGTAATATTTTATTTTTACTTACCTTTATCCTCTTCACCACAGCTCACTAGGAAATATTATATATCACAAATTATTAAAATATAAAACAAAATATACCTCTACATTAATTAATATACGAAATAAAATATTAATTCTAGATAAAATGAGTAATTATTTTATTATTAAATCATTAAAGGTTAAGTTATTTGTGACGTAGATTAAACTAAGTGAGGGAGTCTTCAACTATTGTCTGAGTTGTCAGGTAGATGTTTACCTTTATTTCCCGCTAATTACAGGTAAAAACCATCCAGATTATGTTAAATTGGTGTTAAAAAGTTGTGTTAACATTGAATACAGATTTATCTTCGTCATTTATTAACTTCTTGTCTTACCTTTATCCTCTTCACCACTAGCCGTCCGGGTGATGGGTCACACACTGTTGGCAGTACTGGGCTGTACCAGCTCCTGAACCAGCTCCAGTGTTGGTCAAGTCTTGTCACACTCGGTGCCGTCACAACACTCTCTGGTAGATTGTTCCAACAGTTTACAACTCGCACTCAGTAAAAGTTTGTCCCTCACAGTTTTCTGGCCTTGACCTGTGACCCCTTGTGGGGCGAGCGTCCACCAGCTCCAAGTAAGTTCACTCAACTGAGTAGTGCCCCCTGAGATGCTTACACTTAGGTCACCCCTTGACCGTCTGTAGTATAAGCTAGGCAAGTTCAGGCGCTCCAACCTCTCAGGGTAGCTGAGGTGCCGAAGGGCAGGCACCAGTCTGGTGGCCCTCCTTTGAACATTTTCAACCAACTGACAGTCCCTAGCATATCTCTAATTGGGCTGTTTGAGCGTTAGTACAGGAGGAACTAACATACTAAATGTACCTGCACAAACCCTGTAGTTACCTTGTTTGTAGACAGAAGATCAAATACCTTTTTATTTTTATCCTCTGCCATTGGTCAGTCTGTAAATGGTGTTTTTGCTGTCTAGTGTGTGCTGATGGTGTTGTTTACAGTGTTTAATAGGTGCCGTGGTGGTGTTTTCGGTGTTTAGTAAATGATTGTGGTGGTTTTTTCGGTGGTTCAGTTAGGTTAGGTTAGATAAAGATTAATTAAGTCTGGTGTGGATATGGTTTTGAGTGTAGGCATCACGGCTCTCTCTGACCATCACCACGACCTCATCTGTGTATTTGGTGAGAAGCTTCTACACCATCCTCGACACCGGCTCCTACTACCACCAGAGATCCCTAGCCCGAGAATTGCTGTTGGACACCACAACCGCATCCAGCCCATACGAGCACGAACTGATCGCTATAAGAACAGCCCAGTCCCAACCATGGTAAAAATTATCAATAACTTGTAATCAACCAGTGTATTCACTCCCAGTCAATCTTACTTTTTGCACTGTCACTATGTTGAAATGCCCTGTACCTACTCCCCACCTACTTATTATATATCATATTTGTATCACTTTTGTTACTTGTATATTATTGGTCATTCAAGAGACCCATTCCCCAATAATGTAACTGTATATTTTTAGCCTTCTGGCTGCCATGTTCTTTCAATAAGCCGTTAAATATTTATTATTATTTATTTATTTCATACATACATACATAATAATAATGGTTGCCCCTCGTGTAACGAGGATGGCCGGCCCAAGGGCCACCTAGGGGCAAATTTGTTTAAGGTGTAGAAACTGTCACCAACACAACCACCACACCCTAAGTTAACGAGCTGCATGACCTAGTGTTTAAGGTGTAGAAGCTGTCACCAACACAACCACCACACCCTAAGTTAACGAGCTGCATGACCTAGTGTCCAGGAATAGACCGAGAAGGCCGGACAGCTCGCCAACTGCACTGGCTAACCATTTCCCTGGAACACGATCCACAAATCAATTAACATCTAGGTCTCCAATTACTGCTGCTGGATAGACAGAGGCAAATGGCGTAAAGAAACTTGCCCATAGTTTCACCCTGCCCGGGAGATGGTACCCGGGTCTACTTGCTTGTGAGGCGAGGATGCTTACTATTACACCACAGGTCTCAATATGTATTTAAATATTATTATTACAAACATTCACATACATAGATACATACATACTTACATAAAGATTAAAGTTAGATTATAGAAAATATTAGGATATTTGTGTTCCTTTCTACCCAATTATTTTTTTGTTAATGACTAAATTATTTTCCTTTTTCAGAATCACCAATGCTGTGCACTGTGCTTCTATGAGTCAAGAGAATAGAGATAAGAAATAAGGTCACAGAATCTGGTTTCCTGTTATGAGTTAATAGCCTCAATAACAGAAAATATATTAGGGAGATTTAAAAGAACTTGAGACTCTAGGCAAAAACGTGGTAGGAGCTCCATAGATATTAATTTATTTACCATCAACAACAATGCCACCAGAAAAACCCCCCACCAACTCGCAAACACCGGACAGGAAGAAAGACGAATCGACATTCAAGACGCCTAACAAGACCCCAAGCAAGGACTTAGACACGAACACCAAAATCCACCAATCACAGAGAAGAGTGAGAGAGAAACAAGAGATCCTGAGGAAATTAAAGCTCGTCAAGATGTATCGGACTAAGTGGGAGACGCAGTCGTTGGACAAGGTTACGACCCGGTGGTTACGAGCTTGTCAGGAAGCATTGGAGGATCTCAGAGTGAAAGTTAGAGAGAGGAATATAATTGACACTGGAGAGGTGGAACTAACTCTTCGATCCCTAGTCGGTCATCTTGGTATCGATCCACAGGTTGTTCAGTTGGATCAGACAGAGGATTGTTTCGACACTTCCAACCGTGACAAAGGTACGTATATCTTACACCACGTCCTGTGATGAAAAGACCCGTGACCTCAAGGGTTATATGTGGTAAGGGGTAGTGAATAGAAAGGTTGTATTGTGATAGGGTGTGGCTAATAGAGGGTGTGGCTGGAGACTTATCTATTATAGCCACACCATAGAAGACCTCCCTGGTGGAATGATGTCTTGTAGATAACTTATAGTCAATATGTCTTGCTGACCTGTATCTTGATTTACTTATTTGACTTATAGAAGCTTAATCAGATGACACTAATACCAAATGTTGATAAAATTAGTAATTCTCTTCCCTTTTCCAGGTTTTATAGGTTTTCCAGACCAGGAGACACCCGGTAACTGAGTGTGGATACGTCGGAGTAGAACACAGAGCCGTGAACTGAATCGCAGAGGGGACATACATAACACACTGCAAATCGAACGACAGTATGTATAGCATCAGCTCTGGATGTAAGAGCCATATTACCCATAAGAGCCATATTAGCCATATTTTAAGCTACAGATGTTATACACTAATGAACAATGTGTTAAGAGTGAATAATAAGAGACTGGAAATTGATCGATAGGTTAGGTTAGGTTAGGTTAGGTTGGGAGATGAGTGTCGGAGAGTTGAATGGAAAGTTGACTAGGATTTGATAGGTTGAGATGGATAGATGGAAATAGGGAAGCAAGACTAAAATAAGAAGAAATGGAAGAAAATTTTTAAAATAATCATCATAAGAATTTCAGATGAATTATTATACATGATTTTGAATGATATCTGCCCACCCATAGTCTATACTGGGTATCACTGTATGTATGTATGTATGTCTGTCTCAATAAAAACACACAGGAAAAGGGAAACGTATGTAATGATGTAATGTATGTATGTATGTATGTATATATGTATGTATGTATGTATGTATGTATGTATGTATAGGGCTTTAAACACACACAATGACAAACATGGATAAAGAAAGTTGAATCAATAAATATATGTATAAGTTTACTGAATTTTCAAATAAAAAAATTATAATTACCCAATTATCATTAATGAGAAATTCCATACAATTACAGATCTTAAAATAATTGCCTACTGTACCTTCCTTAACTACCAAAATACACAATTAAAGTATATAACAATGCTTTTCCTTATACATGCTTATAGAGTATTACATAGTTGAGTAATTAAGCTAAGTATAATTATTTAAAGGTTATAATTAATGGAAGTATTATAAGTTACAATAAATGAATCAGTTTTACAGTAGTTACCATCTTTTGTCGTTCCAATATTATGTTAGTCTGTTAATAGATGTAATACCTCGTTAGTCTTCCTAAAATTGGAGAATGTCGATAGGTGGAACTTTTCAATTAATTTTAGTATTTAGGGGATGGGAAGTTGAGGATAGGGGTGGAGGGATAGAGGTGACCATGATAGATAAAAGTTAAAACAGATCAACAGTAAAAAAGATACCTTAATATGCTATTCTTCCCATACCTGTAACTTTGCCCTAATTAATACCAGTACCTATACCTACCTGGTCTACTTGAGCTGTGACAAGACCTTAGTACATTATGATTTGTTATTGGTTATTGAACTTGAGTTATTGTTCAGGAATAGACAAATAGAACTTGTTGATGGATGTTATTGTAATGGTGATTGAACTTGATTTATTGTCCAGAAGGTAAATAGATAAATGGACCTTGATGGATGTTATTGTAATGGTGATTGAACTTGAGTTATTGTTCAGAAATAGACAATAGAACTTCCTGATAGGCTTGGATATAGAAAGCTCTAAAATGGACCCCATGTGACTAGGTTCTATGACATAAAACTAACTAACCAAACCTTTCTACTTTTAAAAAACAACGGAAAAACTTTACATAGCATTGCATATATATTGTAAACTCTTAAATAAATAAATAACTACTCGAATGCCATAAACACTATCGTAATCTGGAAAAAATAATGAATGAAGAATGTGTAATAACGATTTTGAGATGACAAGCTGCCATTCTGCTCAACCCTCAGCCATCTTGTCCAAGCATTTGAGATATTTTTGGTTAAGTGTGTACAATTAAATGTGGCTTTTATCTTTTTATTTAACTTCCAAGCATAAATAATAATAGCCACACAAACAGACTAACTAGCATACACACATATTATGATTTGTTATTGGTTATTGAACTTGAGTTATTGTTCAGGAATAGACAAATAGAACTTGTTGATGGATTTATTGTAATGGTGATTGAACTTGATTTATTGTCCAGAAGGTAAATAGATAAATGGACCTTGATGGATGTTATTGTAATGGTGATTGAACTTGAGTTATTGTTCAGAAATAGACAATAGAACTTCCTGATAGGCTTGGATATAGAAAGCTCTAAAATGGACCCCATGTGACTAGGTTCTATGACATAAAACTAACTAACCAAACCTTTCTACTTTTAAAAAACAACGGAAAAACTTTACATAGCATTGCATATATATTGTAAACTCTTAAATAAATAAATAACTACTCGAATGCCATAAACACTATCGTAATCTGGAAAAAATAATGAATGAAGAATGTGTAATAACGATTTTGAGATGACAAGCTGCCATTCTGCTCAACCCTCAGCCATCTTGTCCAAGCATTTGAGATATTTTTGGTTAAGTGTGTACAATTAAATGTGGCTTTTATCTTTTTATTTAACTTCCAAGCATAAATAATAATAGCCACACAAACAGACTAACTAGCATACACACATATACGTACACACACACACTACCTCGGTACTAAATAAACAAGGAATCATCGGTACATTACAGGAATTCTCAAAGCTATTTATTAATGATTAAATTACATACACTGAGATATCAACAATGGACACTAGACCAAAATTCCTACCCAAGAAACATACATTATAATTCTTAACCCCGAAAACTGACCCTAAACTTGTCTGATTAACGCACAGAACAGCATGCATCGACGTCTATTGTAGTTCCACCTATGCCTTCTAAGTAGTATACCGGCATAATTAAAGCATCACATTATTATATGTCTTATTACCTGTATGCCTCTCATTCCTCCTCTACCTGTAATTTAATCAAGTCCTTTTATTACCTTAAAAATGGTATTGTAGTTCCCTTTATCTAATTCTTTCATAATTACCTAAAATAACTATCCGGTCTTCAATAAATATCTACTTTAAAAAAAGGTTGTAGTTCCCTTTATCTAATTCTTTCAAAATTACCTAAAATAACTATCCGGTCTTCAATAAATATCTACTTTAAATAAAATGTAAAGTAGTATCCATTCATACACCATAAACCATTCTTTACATAATCCCTACGTTATACTAGAAAATATAATGAAAAAGAAAATAAAATTTCTCCCCCTCCCCCCCCAGATAGTTTGGGAATCTATTTACAACAGCAAAAAAATCAATAATAAATATATGAGTGAAGGGGAAGCATTGATAGACACTCTGTCAGATCATCACTAATTATAGCCGGTATTGTATGAGGAAATATCCACTTATAGCCATTATAACTAATAGCCGGTATTGTATGAGGAAATAGCCACTTATAGCCATTGTAACTAATTATAGCGTATTGTGGAAATAGCCACTTAGAGCCATTATAACTAATTATAGCCGGTATTGTATGAGGAAATATCCACTTATAGCCATTATAACTAATAGTTCAATAGCTGTGTGTACCAATAAAGTCAAGTCCAATAGCTGTGTGAACCAATTAAGTCAAATTCAATAGCTGTGTGTACCAATTAAGTCAAAACCAATAGCTGTGTGTACCAGTTAACCCTACAAGTTCAATAATCACACCCTAACCTAACCTACCCAACCAAGCCTAACCTAACCTACGACTCGAGCGATACTAAAAACAAACATTACTCACCGACACAAACCAGAAAGAATTAGTTTTAAACATTCCTCGTGATATGAAACCCATCTCACTCTCTGGGGCGATTATATGGAGGTGCAGGTGACTGACCGTGTGGAAGGGGGGCCAATGAAAACCTAGCCTCGCAGCGCTTGTTGATCCGCCTTGTGCCGTCAATACTTCCTGTCCCAGCTTCACCATTTTTTCCACTGTGGGGAAAAAACGAAAATTGATTCTACTTTGAAGGAAAAAGCGAAAATTGATTCCACTGTGATGGGGAAAAAACTGTAGTAGTTGTAGTAATCTTGTTAACCTTTGTATTATAATAACTTTAGAACCAGCAAAGTTATTAAGTTATACGAAGTGCAATATTATTGTAATGTTAGTTTAGAATGAAATGATATGAGTGAAAGGCATCGTTACTCATTGGGGTTTTTGGGGGGGGGGGGATACTGGCACTTGGGTTAGGTTAGGTGATAAATTTTGAGGATATTTTAAATTTGTACGTCAGGTTATAAAATATATCTTAAGGTTTAACTACATATTATAATACAAAGGGTCGTTAGTTATCATAATATTAACGACAGAAATATAGGGTCAAAGGTCAAATTGTCCCCCAGGTAATCTAATAACAGAAACACAAGGTCAAAGGTCAAATTGTCCCCCAGGTAATAATAACACTGACAGAAACACAAGGTCAAAGGTCAAATTGCCCCCCCCCTCAGGTAATGCATACTAAATAAAAACAACACTACATAATAATAGTGTTACAGACAAGCAATACTGTAACACAAACTACATAATACTAGTGTTACAGACTCAACACACACTCACCCATAGGAATGTTTTCTTTAGTTAGGCTCTTAACATCAGTGTAGTGGTGACGGGTGATGACTAGGTAGTGGTGAGGTGCTGCTGGTCTCATGTCCGGGAACACCACAAACTCTTCGTCCTGTGACACGTAAACAATTGGCGTCCATTATGTTACAGTATACATTGGCGTCCATTATGTTACCATTATGTTACAGTATACATTGGCGTCCATTATGTTACCATTATGTTACAGTATACATTGGCATCCATTATGTTACCATTATGTTACAGTATACATTAGGGGTTGCTATAAGCTCACAAAGGATTTTTTTTAAATCTGAACAAATATTATGGGGATTTTGAGGCCATGTGCACTTGATATCAGGAGATATTCTGAGGTCAATAGTAATTACTTTTTACTATACAAAAAACACCAGAGTACAATACTGTATTAAAGAAAAAGTATTGGAATTTTCTGTTTTCCACGCTATGCCTGTGTTATATAATGTAGCTATACCTTTGCTATGCCTGTGTTGCAATACTGTGCTATACAATAAAATAATCAATACCCGTGAAATGACATAATACCTGTCAAGAACCTAACCTAACCACAGGTGAATATGTCGTTACCGTGACTCAACATAAACCACTCACCTGATGAACGATGTTACTCGGTTCAATGCCATCAGAGATCTTGCAGAAAGTACACCTTCCTCTCTCTCCTGCCTGGGATGGTTGGGGTGGCTGGGATGGTTGGGGTGGCTGGGATGGTTGGGGTGGCTGGGATGCCTGGGATAGCTGGGATGGTTGTGGTGTCTGGCCGCTCATACTTCTTACAAGATGCTGGAAAGTATGAATGTGTATGAATGTTTACTCGATCATACGTTTTTAATTAATAATATCCCAATACCTCAGTGAACGTCCGGTACTTGTCAACAGTGTGTAGCAGAGAGCCAGTATATGCCCAGTACTTGCCAACAGTGAGTAACAGACCGCCCAACCAGCTAACGAGGCAATCAGTGGCAAAAAAATTAAAGTAATAGGTTGTTTCCATTATTATACATTTTAATTAATGATTCCCAAACACTTCATTACACCACACTGGAATCTTGGTTGAGAAAATAAAGTTTGTTTTTGCTAATTCATTCTTTTCCTATTAAAATCTTTTCTCGTTGTAGGAAACACGAAGGGCTGGTCCTGAAATTCTATTCTCTAAACACAAGTCACTGATTGGTTACAAAAGGTATGGACCACCCGCGGGCCGGACCATGATCTTTGTGCGGCCCGTGAATTGATTGATAAATTCTACATAATGTGGCTGGTGGTTCAGGAATATACAGTTAATTTATGGTGAGTAAAGTAATATTTATTAAAAGAATAATCCTCACACACAATTATTACTGTTTCATCACCTAAGAATAAATATCTACGACAATGTAACAGTGAAATAAGTATAAATGGTCAACAATATAAACATTTTAACTTGTGTTAGTTTATGGGTCAAGTTCAGTGCAGTCTGTTGGATGGATGAACTGCTGTGTGGCAACGGGTCACTTGGGCATTAACTAAGGTCCAAGTGAGGTCACGGTGGTCACACGGGTCAAAGGTGAATGGATAATAGCAACACGATTGAATTTAATTGATTTTACGAACTGTTCAGTCTTCGTCTATGTGGGGTGATGTTATCGTCACTTAATTATGAGTGTGTTTACAGCACGCCAGAGACTACTCACACACCCAGTCGTGACCAATGAGGTATCGATATCATCACGTAGATTTTTTTCGACCAATCACATTATAATTTTCTCATAGGAAGCAGCCTGGGTACGGATTTTAATTTCATTGACTGGTCTGACAATGGCCGTGGTGGAGGTTGGTTGTCGTTCGCGCTGCTACGATTATTTTAAGTTTATTGCCGAGTTTTACGAGAAAGATGATCATTCTGTCCAATTCTAACTAAGGTGTTGTACTTTTGGACATGGTGCACCTCAGAGTTTTGAATTACTGAAATATTTAGGTTAGAATGGGTTGGGTTAGGTTAGGTTAGATTGGGTTCGATTGGGTTAGGTTAAGTTTAGGATTAAGTTAGGTGACGAAAACGATAATAATAATAATTTAATAATGAAAACGAAACCCAAATTACTGTGGTATGACGACCTCTTGAATAACCACAACTACCACAAACATACATACATACATACATACATAAATATATACATACATACATACATACATACATACTGTACATACGACACCTACAGTTACCACCCTCAGGAGACAGCTATTCGTCCTAATCATCACTACACAGACACTATATTACGTCACTGATTAATTACAAACATAAATAATCTCAAATAAGGTTTTCAATTAGTAAATAATCCATCTGTAGCCAATAGGTATATTTTACACTAATTACCCGGTTAATTAGCTATGATTAATGCTCTAATTACTTCTCTTCATTGTTATATAGTCAAATTATCACTTGTATTTGGTTAGGTTAGGTTAATTAGTTGAGTTATATAGGATAGTTACCAGTTGCTGCTAGTCTGTGTGTGTGTTGTATCGTAGGTGACTGACAACTACCACCAGCTGTTGTTGTTAAGAGTATCGTACATTGAAGGAAGAATTGTTATACATTATGGATAGTTGTCGTACATTATCTATTATTATAACCCAAATGTGTTTAAAATGGTATTATAATTTTGTATTTATAGCCAAAAATTAAGTTATTTCATGTAGTTTAGATATGGAAATTATGTAATGGATGATTAGTGGGTTTATGATGGGATAAATGTAGAATTACTAATCAAGGTATCCCAGTACAGGTGAACTAATTACCTGACTGTACTTGTGTTGTATTATAAGACAGGTGATAGATATAATTATTTTTAACCATCATCACACCTGTCCTTCCCTCAGAGCAGCTTATGAGTGATGACAAGCTTATTATTTACTTCAATTGTCCCAAACACATTTCATATTTTTATTACTATTTGACGTTATATTTCATTATTACTATTGATTATCATTTATTTCTTTATATTTTTAACTTATTCTTCATATTATCCTTACTTCTATCAACCCATTTTCTTGACATTTCTTACATACCTCTTACCTGTTTCACCAACGTTGCTCATACCTTATCTTTATCGCCTATTCCTCCTCTTCCTTTACCTCATATATTACCTGTACTAATTAGTTTGTATAAAGGACTGATATTCAAGTGTCTTTTGATCATTCCCAAACATCAACGAAAAATTACAGACCAAAAGGATTATTAAAACTTCCAATACTTTCAATATTTACAACATAAAACTATACAGTACAAAATATTAATTTCAAGAATTTCCGCTCCAAATACTTTTTCCTGAACTAGACAATATTTCATAGTTACTAAACATTAATAGACTGAAATAATGGAACGGGTTTGAAATTTGTTTAATCTTTACTAGGAAACCAAGGAATGGGTTATTGATCAGGCCAGCCAAACTTGCTATTTGATGGTCTAGTTATGTAGGGGGAAGGGGAAATATCTAGGTAATATATATTCAATGTATAACAACCAAAAAGTTAATCAATCCCAATAATAGAATGAAGAAATCACTGTATTGGGATGAATAGCTCGACGCCAAGTTATACATCAAATGTATATATATTACCCGTAGCATTCTATACATATACATAATGACCTGACATACAGTTTCTTAAGATAAATCAGCCAGCAATAAGATACTACATCACTTTATACACAACAAATTAACTCACTACACATAATCATTTACTGAACACTGGATTAGCTTATTTCTAACTCACAAATCACCCAATAATAATGTTGTATGTACAAGTAATAGTGAAAGATTAATTAAAGTATCTTATAATCACATTTTCTTAACAGGATTACTTAACAAATTTAATCATTGATAAATAGTTCATAACACTGTGTAACTCACCGGTTCATTGGAAAACCCTGGAATATTTGATGTGGTGTTGTATGAGACCATTTTGTATTGTATTGTGTTGTATTGTACCATAATGTATTGTACTGTATTGTAATGTACCATAATGTTATGTATTGCGTTGTATTGTACTGAATTGTAATGCATTAAACGATCTTAATTACGGACAGTGTTCCAAAAGAGGTCGTTCGATATATTTTCATTTTCTGGACCAATGAGACAGGTCCCCTCCACAACAGCATCCCTGAGATAGACCCGAGCGGCTCTCACTAGGTCCTGGGAGGCAGCGTCGAGGATCAGCCGGCGGTGATCGGCAAACTGTTCCTCCGTGATGTGCGAGAGGAAGCGACGCCTGCCCTTTGCCCCCGGGGACTCCGGAGCATCGACCGCCTGGAACACCCCTAACTTAGCCTCGTCCACGTCCCGCTGGTCGAACTCGCCGGATAGCACCCACTCGACCGCAGCATCGAAGGTTTCCAAGGTCTGGGTCGAGTGGGGGTCACGGTAGCTGTAGAAGCTGAACGCTCCTCCGGGCGTCGTCGCTGAGCCCCCGCCGTAAGCTCCGCCCTTCTCCCGGATCTCCCGATGCAAAAAGCGGAACATGAGACGAGCGAGGACCCTCAGGGCTCCTGCATCCGGGTGACAGTACGGCACCCCAGGGAACGACTTGGAGGCGAAGTTAACCGGGAAGGGAAACACCTGGTGGGTCTTTGACGGATGAGGCGTGAAGTCCCCGGGGAGCGTCGCGAGCGGCGAGTATCCGCACGGTTCGCCGGACAAGCCGTTTAAAAATGTCTGGAAGTTGCGAAGAGTCGTGTCGCGGTGATCGGGGGTCGTGTTGACGGAAACTCTCATCTTGCTCTTGGACAACAACAGCGAGGATAGTTCACGTAGCCGTTCGAGCGTCTGGGCGAGGTCTTTTGATTTGGCGAGAGCTTTCATCTGTTTCAGGAACGTAAGACCGCTCCAGCGTTCGGTCAAAGCGGCCACGTGACCGGTCGAGGCGCTTGCCGCAGTCATGGCATATTTATGACCAGAATACACCAAGCTATTAGACTGGTCGGTGGCAATCATGTTAACCAGCGTAGTAAACCTCTGCAGGTCGATTAAATTCACTTCGTTGAGGATTAACGACCAAATATCGAGCATCTTCATTAAATTTTGGTTCAGGCAATGAGATGAAAGAAGGATTCCCTGTTCATACTGTACAGCATTTATAGGATGAGCGTTTAAGTGGGTACAAGCGCCGACGCCGCCGCAGACCAGGTCCAACTTTTGATCCAGCTGACGAAAATCGAGATGCCCCGCCCCCATGCGGGTCAGCACCCCACACAGCACAGGGACGAGCGATCTGAGACGGTCCGGTACGTCGTGAGTGTCTAGCACAGCAGAGAAGTACGTTATGCCGTTGGTGGGCTGGTCGCAGATCTGTACGGGTACGCCGCCCGATAGACCGATATCAGTCACCAGCGTCGGAGGCACGGCGCGGCTGATATCCGATACCTTTAACGTCGGCAGACAGGATAGATCGTCGTCTTCCTCTTGTTTACACGCCAACGTCTCTCCCTTCTCCCAAATGTCCGTACGGTCGTCGTCCGTCAGACCAGACAGACGTTGACTCAGCATCAATTCTTCCTCTTCCTGTAGCTTGGTCTCATAACCTTCCCGTGGCGACATAGTCTGTGTGTACTTGTGTTTATTCTCCAGGAAATATTCGGTAACCTTCTCTTGTAAGAACTTGGGATTCTCTTCGATGCATTTTTTTAATCTGTTTATTTTTTGGTTAATTCGTAAGGAGTCGATCGGGTCGCCGCCCAGGTTCCAGAGAGGGGTGATGCCCAGGACTACCCCGAGGCCAAAGAACGACGTCTGGTGCTTCACTTGTAGTTCCAGGTTGTGTATCACGGCCTCCACTCGCTCCGGGGGGAATCCTTCGGTGGAGACTTTAGCGAACGTCTCGTCGATGATCCGTCCCACCGCGTCTACGTCGCTGTCTTTAACGCCCTGTAGTCCGACGGTGAAGGTGGTGTTACGGGTGTGGCCGTCAAAACCGGAGGACGGGGAGAAGCCGGAGCCTAACTGTGGCTCCAGGAGACTCTTGTAGAAGGGGGCGTTGGGGCCACTCGTCAACAGCTCTCCGAGGACGTACAGGACGAAGGTTTCAAAGACGTTGGTTATGTCGACTAATTTATAAGAGACGGCTATACTCGTCTGGCCGTCGCCGCTGGCCATGGGGTCCGCGCCACACTCCACGTGGGCGCGTCTCGGCTCCGACCAACAGGGCTCCTCCGGAACGTCCGTCTCGGGGTTTATTTTATCGTAGTGGCGGAGATAACCGTCGTTTATGAACTCTAGATGGTTCACCAGAGGCTGGTCTCCGTAGGTGTAAAACCGGGCATTACTGGGGTGGTAGTGGTAAGAGTGGAAGTCTCTGAGCCGTTGCCACGTCAGCCGGGGAATGTCGAGAGGGTCGCCGCCCGACACGACGCCGTACGTGTGAGAAGGCAGCAGACCGTTCTGTAGTTTCTGCAGGAACAGCTGCTGGGAATCTGCGAACACACCTTTCATCTCGTTAAACACGACGCCCTTAAAGACTATCGGCGACGACCTATCCCGAGGATCCCGGTGTTCGAGCCTCCAGCCCTCCTGAAGAAAGTCCAGCTCCGAGAGGTGCGGCCTGAACGCGGCGTCCATATACACCGACAACAAGTTCCTAAAGTCGACGGGGTGCTGAGTCGAGAATGGGTACACGGTGTAGTCGCTGCCCGTCATGGCGTTCATAAAAGTAGACAGAGAACGATTCAACATCTTAAAGAACGGATCCCTGCACGGGTATCTCTCGCTGCCGCACAGTACCGTGTGCTCGAGGATGTGCGGGACGCCCGTCGAGTCCATGGGAGTCGTCCGGAACCCCACGCAAAACACGTTGTTGGGGTCGTCCCGTGCCACGTGTAGGTAGTCGGCTCCAGTGCCCACGTGTTCCAGGCGTATGGCGGTGAGGTGGAGTTCCGGAACATCCTGGATTTCCTTGACTAAAAATCCTGAGACTTCTTCACCAACTTGATATTCATTTTTGACCGCATCACCTGAAACATGACAAGGTGTTAGAACTGGAGGTACATCTTTGACTAAAATCCTGAGACTTCTTCACCAATTTGATATTCGTTTTCCAACACATCACCTGAAACAAGACAAAGTACTGTAGCTACAAAAGAAAACCCCAAGTACTTTAAACTATTGTAACTCTAACCTAACCTAACCTAACCTAACCTAACCTAACCTACACTCTTAAATTTCTATTACTTAAGAGAAAAAAAACTTTATAATTAAATGAAAAGCAGACAAACAGAAAAAGGAAATCTTATCAAATAGTAATGTATGCTGAATGGGATCAAATCTTGGCAGAAAAATAAAAAATACAGTCATTTTGTATAACCGGGGAACTATTAACAGTCCAATATGTTGAACAAATATTACAGTCATTTCTTTAACCTAACCTAACCCAACCATATAACCTAACCTAACCTTACCCAACCATATATCCTATCCTATCCTAACCAACCTAACCTTACTCGTTATTTTGAGATTAATAAGGCAAGAAATAACTTTACTTACTATGAAAAAAACCTGTGAGCATTCCTAGACATAGAGATTATTTAATACATATTTATAATGATTTAATACACAACCAATCATTACTCACCAACAGAGGCAACAGCTGAACTACCTCGTTTAAGGGTGCTAGTCCACACATGTCTGTTGGTCTCTTGTCCATATCTACGACTCACTCTGCTCCTCAGTCTCGTAGCAGCTCGTAATATAGTTAAAATTGTCATCCTCGTAGAGCTTTAGAGAGACAGAGAGACGGACAGAGAGACAGAGAGACAGGGAGGTGAGACAGGTGCCTGGGTGAGCCTCGTCTGAAGACAGGCTGATGCAATGACTGATTTTTGTGCCCAACTTAAGATTTTTATATTTAACTCCTAATTAAACGTTATTTAGATATATTTATATTAAAAAACTTAATTATTATGATAGTAAATGTTAGTTTTTTATGTAAGATAATTTTTGAATATGTTTTGTTAATTGGTTTTTTGGTCTTGATAAATGTGATGTTATTGTCTTGTAATTATAGTAAATGACAACATAACGCAATATTTAACCTATTTAAGGATAGTTCATTAAATTATATGTAATTTTATATATACTAAAGTAAAATATGATATTAATTTGGCCCATATTTATAAAAGTAATTTTTAAGTTCGGTTAAGTTGGAAATGTTGTGTATTCCAAGTTGGGACAAATTACACATGATGTAAACAGTGCAAGTTCAGAAACAAATTAAAATTTCCTAAAGATAAAAAAATACAATAAACAATAAATATCAAAGTTTATTATACATAAAATTATATACTTTAAATTATTTATTTCTTTTTATATTTAAATTATATGTATTAGTAAGAAATTTATTATTTTATGGAGAATTGAATGTCATGTAAATCACAACTTTTTCACCATTTTAAGAATTATATTTACAATTAATTTATCACCATTTATCACCATCATCCTCACCCCATAAAACTATTTTGGACACTTTCTCCCCTTCCTTTCCCCACCCCTTCCCTCTCCCCCCTTCCTCTCCTTTCCCCACCCCTTCCCTCTCCCCCTCACCAGATAACACCACTCCCTCTCCTTCCCTCTGACGTCACTTGGTCCTCTGACGTCACTTATTCTTGACGTCACTTATTCTTCTGACGTCACTTATTCATCTGACGTCACTTATTCATCTGACGTCACACATTTTCGTCATATTATTAATTATTGAACAAAATACTAATAATTTACGATAATTGTGATGCCGTAAATAGTGTTAAATGATCGTGTATTATGGTTTTTATATGGTAATTAAATAGGAATTAATAGGAGACGAAAACACAGGTTAAATATTAGAGTTTTATTATCAGTTGACAGATTATTATTCTAACAGGCGTAAAGATGCTACTGTGGGACCTTAAGACTGTCATCCATCTTGTTGTTTTTAATACACATCTCAAGACGTACACACATCTCAAGATGTACACACATCTCAAGACGTACACACATCTTAAGACGTACACACATCTCAAGATGTACACACATCTTAGACGTACACACATCTTAAGACGTACACACATCTTAAGACGTACACACATCTCAAGACGTACACACATCTCAAGACGTACACACATATCTTAAGACGTACACACACATCAAGACGTACACATATCTTCAGACGTACACACAAGACGCACACATCTCAAGACGTACACACATCTCAAGACGTACACATCTTAAGACGTACACACATCTTAAGACGTACACACATCTCAAGACGTACACACATCTTAAGACGTACACACATCTCAAGACGTACACACATCTCAAGATGTACACACATCTCAAGACGTACACACATCTTAAGACGTACACACATCTCAAGATGTACACACATCTTAGACGTACACACATCTTAAGACGTACACACATCTTAAGACGTACACACATCTCAAGACGTACACACATCTCAAGACGTACACACTACACCTACACTCTACCTACACCACTAAAAATATATATTTATTGAAGTAAATCCTCTATTTAGCGAACTATATAGAGATGAAAGTCCATTATATCGAGGGTCGGTCCGTTAGATATAAAACCTCCATATAAAGGATTATAATAAGATAAATTCCGCTATATAGAGGTTTTTTACCGTACTGATTATATTTCACAATAGAACTCTACAATTCCTAAAAAATATCAATTAACCTTAACTAGAAAACTACTATATCCTCCTCGTTAGCGGTCACCGGGTAACAGCAGCGGCCTCTAATTGGTGCTGTCGCCGGAGGTTATCGAACATGACCTGACACATGGCCTCCAGGTTGTAGTGGTGACGCCAGCCCCAGTCACGTCGAGCCTCGGAGTCGTCGAATACCTCTGGCCACGTGTCAGCTGGAGGGTGTCGAATATAGCGGTGTTATTTATGGTTTATGCGTTATTTTACATGTTTATACACTTACTTGGATGTAATTATTGGTAATTACAGGTTAACTATTCACTGTGGTGGTGGAGTAACAGGTTAACAGCGTCTGATAGTTGTTGACACATATATAAACACTAGCGGGTCAATGAATAATTTATAAACAAAACTAACATAAACTATCTTAATAATCTTAAACTATCCTAATGATTTTATACTATTAAATCAACCTATTAGATATAGTTTAGTTCATGTTATATTTAATAAATTATATAGCTCCGTAATCCACCAGCCTAATGTCAACACTAACTAGCCATTCCTCTCCCCATGAATATATATCACTAATTAAATAACACCAATAATTTAAAACAAACCTCAACTCATGGAAACAACTCTAGAATATCTAGTAGACAAAATTTTATGTTTATTATGTTTATAAAGACAGTGATAACATTATAGTACTTGAAATTTGACTCGATTCAATGTATGTCTCTTTAAAAGTGGGTAATATATTTTTTTCGAGGTATCTATTTCCTATTGAGACATGTGGCTATTATTCTCCCTTCTATAATATTCTCTCCCTGAGCTAAACTTTACTTCATTCCTTCACATCTTCTTAATTCTCTCCCTTTCCCTCCCTTCCTCACTCCCACTCTCTTCAATTAATAAACTCCCTCCCTCCCCCTCCCTCACCCTAACTCCCTTTACCCTCCCTACCCCCCTACCCCCTCACCCCCTCACTCACTCACCAATATTCTGCCGGGAATCAGGTTTATAGGTAATGCTAAAATCAGGAAAATGTTTCTTCACTTCAGCTACGATTTCCTCTGGGGAGAAACTCATTGCTGTCACATTGTAAGTCCGTCGCTTGAGCTGATCTTCAGGAGCAACCAGAACCTCCCACAGTGATCTGAGTGTGTGAGAGAGAGATGGAAGAGTCAGAGTGTGTGGCTGAGGGTGTTAGTGGGATGGTAATAGGGGTGTGTGTGTAGGAGGGTGGACACACACACACACACAGGGACCCACCTGAGACAGTCCTCAATATACATCATAGGAAGGCGGGTGGTCGGCTTTAGGTAACACTCCATGTGGCGACCCTCGATGGCGTCATGGAAGATCTGTACGGCGTAGTCTGAGAGATAGAGAGATAGTTAGTGTCTCTCACCTGTAGTGTCTCCCTTGTCTCTCACCTACAATCTCTCAATTATCTCTCACCCATAGTCTCTCAGTCTCTCTTGCCTCACCTGTAGTTCCTCCTCCAGTTTGGGTGTCAGAAGAGATAACTCCCGGAAATCTGAGACAACGGAAATCCAAACCAAATCTGTGGTTATAATATTCTCCCAGCAGCTCTCCGTGTACCTGTAGAAGGCGCAGACGAAGTATAGTGTTATATATAGTGACTGTGTTATATATAGTGACAGTGTTATATATAGTGACTGTGTTATATATAGTGACAGTGTGTTATATATAGTGACATAGTGTGTTATATATAGTGACATAGTGTGTTATATATAGTGACAGTGTGTTATATATAGTGACAGTGTGTTATATATAGTGACTGTGTTATATATAGTGACATAGTGTGTTATATATAGTGACATAGTGTGATATATAGTGACAGTGTGTTATATATAGTGACATAGTGTGTTATATATAGTGACATAGTGTGTTATATATAGTGACATAGTGTGTTATATATAGTGACATAGTGTGATATATAGTGACAGTGTGTTATATATAGTGACATAGTGTGTTATATATAGTGACATAGTGTGATATATAGTGACATAGTGTTATATAGTGACATAGTGTGTTATATATAGTGACATAGTGTTATATATAGTTACATAGTGTGTTATATATAGTGACATAGTGTGTTATATATAGTGACATAGTGTGTTATATATAGTGACATAGTGTGTTATATATAGTGACATAGTGTGTTATATATAGTGACATAGTGTGTTATATAGTGACAGTGTGCTATATATAGTGACATAGTGCATATATAGTGACATAGTGTGTGATATATATGACTGTGTTATATATAGTGACATAGTGTGTTATATATAGTGACATAGTGTGTTATATATAGTGACATAGTGTGTTATATATAGTGACAGTGTGTTATATATAGTGACATAGTGTGTTATATATAGTGACATAGTGTGTTATATATAGTGACATAGTGTGTTATATATAGTGACATAGTGTGTTATATATAGTGACATAGTGTGTTATATATAGTGACATAGTGTGTTATATATAGTGACATAGTGTGTTATATATAGTGACACAGTGATATATATAGTGACACAGTGATATATATAGTGTAAATAATACACTCGTACTATAATACAATTTCAGTGATATTTTAACATAATGATGGTGTGTGTGTGTGTGTGTGTGTGTGTGTGTGTGTGTGTGTGTGTGTGTGTGTGTGTATGTGTATGTTAGTGCCGTAGAGAGAATACCTTACGTGTGTGTATATGTATGTATATATGTGTATGTATATCTGTATATGTATACCACTACCGTATACATTGCCTTACACGTATATATATATATATATATATATGAATCTATGTATATCTGTCCATATGCATATCAGTACAGCAGAATATAACTTAGATGCGTGTATATGTATGGAATCTATGTATACCTATTCATATGTATACAAGTACCGTGTATATTACCTTTGAGACTCCGTATATGGTCCGGGGTCGCTGTATGGTCAGGTTAGGTGTGGGGTTCCTGGGTGAGTCAGGACCGAAGGCGCCTATGGTGGATGGGACGAATACCCTGAGGTTATACTGTTTACTAAGTTCCATTACGTTGTGGAGGCCCTCGATGTTCACCCTGTAAGAGGTTAGGAGGTCAGCTAGAGGTGTAGAGGTTAGGTTAGGTTAGATTAAGTTAGGTTAGGTTAGGTTAGATTAGATTACGTTAAGTTAAGTTAGGTTCGATTACTTTAAGTTAGGTCAGATTAGCTCCTAACAACCATGACCTACTTGTCCAACACTCACTCACCTAATAGCCAGGGGCACATTCTGTTCACCAATAGCAGACAGTAGCGCCGAGAAATGGACGAACCAATCAATCCTGTAGGTGACGACGATCTCCTGAAGACACTTGAAGTCCAGGATGTCTGCGAATACGTAGGGCCCTGGACGCCGGCAGGAGGGAGAGGGAGGGAGAGAGGGAGAGAGAGGGAGAATTAGATATATTTTTGGAGTGGTAGGGAAATAATGATGTTATGTTGGGGAAAATATGTCAAAAAAAGGGAAATATTATAAAGGAACGAGAAATATAAGGAATAGTGATGAAGGAACGAGAAATATAAGCAATAGTGATGAAGGAACGAGAAATATAAGCAATAGTGATGAAGGAACGAGAAATATAAGGAATAGTGATGAAGGAACGAGAAATATAAGGAATAGTGATGAAGGAACGAGAAATATAAGCAATAGTGATGAAGGAACGAGAAATATAAGGAATAGTGATGAATGAACGAGAAATAGGCTAAGAAGTATAAAGAAACGAGGAAATATAAGCAATAGATGAAGGAACGAGAAATATAAGGAATAGTGATGAAGGAACGAGAAATATAAGGAATAGTGATGAAGGAACGAGAAATATAAGCAATAGTGATGAAGGAACGAGAAATATAAGCAATAGTGATGAAGGAACGAGAAATATAAGGAATAGTGATGAAGGAACGAGAAATATAAGCAATAGTGATGAAGGAACGAGAAATATAAGCAATAGTGATGAAGGAACGAGAAATATAAGCAATAGTGATGAAGGAACGAGAAATATAAGCAATAGTGATGAAGGAACGAGAAATATAAGGAATAGTGATGAAGGAACGAGAAATGTAAGGAATAGTGATGAAGGAACGAGAAATATAAGCAATAGTGATGAAGGAACGAGAAATGTAAGGAATAGTGATGAAGGAACGAGAAATATAAGCAATAGTGATGAAGGAACGAGAAATATAAGCAATAGTGATGAAGGAACGAGAAATATACTAAAAGAACGACAAGACCAAACAACAAATCAGAGTAATTTTAAAATGACTCACCTGACTGAACGATGTCTTTCGATGGCTTTACTATATCAGACATAATAACATTTTCAGTGCCATACTTAGACCTGAGGAGGCGAGCCAGTCCAGTACCTAGTTGGCCCAGACTGCCTGTGGGTCATAGGGTAGTATTAATTTATTTCATCTATAATACACATATATATATATATACGTTATACACTCTTATGTATGCGGTAGATGTATACTGTGTACTCAGATATATTTTTAACATGACTAATATATAATTGACTCTCTCTCTCTCTCTCTCTCTCTCTCTCTCTCTCATGTTTTAAGTCTATGTGTGTACTTACCTGTAATCAGTATTCTAGGTGGATCACCATTAGGATGATAATGCCTCAGTTGACCACCGTTACTGACTACACTGGTCTGCCTTCCTTGAAACAGTCTGCTCAATATTCTTCCTCTGTAATGATAATAATAATAATAACTAACTCCTACTTTATAAAGATTCAAATACTCAGGTAAAAACTAACTTTTAATTAATATTTCTGACTATACATTAGAGTTGAACGGACAAACACTTTATAACATATATTTAATGATTTGTATCCGAAAATATATAGAATTCGGATATCTGTTACATTTATTTAGTATTAATTTGGTTTTGTTTAATGATTTTCTGGGGCTCAGGTGTAAAGGTCGGGTATACAGCTATGTGGTCTTGGCAAGCGAGAGAGGGAGGGAGGGAGGGAGAGACAGAGGGGTCCTTGTGACGTATGACGGTGTTATAGTGAGCCCAAGGTCTTAATATACGCTAGGCTATACGCGTCTTGCTAGTAGTTATCAATGAAGCTTGGCTATTATAACTAACGCCCTTTAGAAAGTTAATTGTAGGTCAGATAGTTAATGATATGTCAGGGTACATCTAGGCTTTACCGAGAGAGGTTTGAAAAGGAGTATAAGCGCTCAAGACATTAATGGCAGGGAATAACTTGATGACCTTCGAAGTGTGGACGGAATGATGCAAAAACAGCAGTCACCTCCTCAATGAGATGCAGAGGGTAGCAAGTTCTCTTTCTCTCACTCCTTCTCTCAAGTTAATTTACAGGAAACTTTCAAGAATTTAACCTTGATGTGAAACTGAGATAGACCAAAATAAAAAAAAAATCACCCAAACGCATTATTTCTAGTATGATTATTGAAAGTTTTTACGTCATCAGGATGTAGGTGCCATCGCTGTATATCTGTGACGCAATTGTGGAGCTATGTGTGTGTGTGTGTGTGTGTGTGTGTGTGAATAATAATAATAATAATAAAGAGGGGGAAGGGGGGTGGTATGTAGTGGGGGGAGGGGGGTGACAAGAAGGGTGTCAAGGAGTGGTGGTGACGGGGTTAAGGTGTCTGGTGCCAAAGATGAGTGCCAATTAGGTCGTTGGGGAAGGTGCCATCCAGTGCCAACATGTGTTTTGTAATGGTCAATATTATTTTTATTAAGATGAGAATTTGATATCATTTAGTTTACGTTACTACTACTACTACTACTACTACTACTATGACATAAGAACATAAGAATGGAGGACACTGCAGCGGGTCATACTGGACAGTCCCCTTTACACCCAACCCCTATCGCTCATATATCCACCCAACCTGTGTTTGAAGCTATCCAGCGTATTAGAGTTAATGATGATGTTTGGTAACTTGTTCCACTCGTCCACTACTCTATTTCCAAACCAATGTTTACCTATTTCACGCCTAAATCTAAATCTGTCTAATTTAAAACCATTGTTACGAGTTCGCTCCTGGTTGGATAGTTTGATTACCTTTGTAATGTCACCTTTGTTTAGCCCTGACTTCCACTTATACACCTCTATCAGGTCGCCCCTCACTCTACGTCTCTCGAGGGAGTGCAAATTAAGATGCTTTAACCTGTCTCTGTACTCAAGGTTCCTAATGTCCGGGATTAGTCTTGTCATTCTCCTCTGGATTCTTTCCAAGGATTCTATATCCATTCTGTAGTACGGTGACCAGAACTGAACTGCGTAATCCAAGTGAGGTCTAACAAGCGCAAGATATAGTTTTAGGATGACCTCGCTAGTCTTGTAACTAACACTCCGGCCATGTGAGTGACGCACTAGCGTAGCTAGGGGGGGGGGTCCGCCCCGGGCGGCACTTTTGGGGAGCGGCACTTTTGGGTCTGCTCATCACCCATATCTGCAGCTACTGGAGACGTTAATCCATCCCTTTGTATCGGCGGCAAGTTAATCCTTGTCGTGTCTGACCTAACACCTGACCCACATCATCACGGCCACGTCATGAGCTACACCCTTGCTATGCCCCCGCCACACACACAACCTGTAACCTGTTGAGGATTAAGGAAACAACTTCAAACAAGTACGCCAGTGAGCTCATGTGGTGTGGGTCAGGTGTTAGGTCAGACACGACGAGGATTAACTTGCTGCCGATACAAAGGGAAGGATTAACGTCTCCAGTAGCTGCAAAACCATGCAGTCTCGGGTCATATCAGTTCATGTACAGCCGACCAATCCACCAGTTACAAGCAATTCACTTCAGTTCTGCACAAGTCTCCATCGTGACAAGGCGAGGGGAGGCTAGACGACTTTTAAGTTCTCTTGTGTTTTCGATCCAGTTATTTACTTCGTTGGAAGACATAATACTATAAGGTAAGAAATATTAAAGTATTGGTTAAAAAATATTGATGTGACTTTTGCTGCGGTACTGAGATTAAATATTAAGATTTTGTTTCACAGCATTGCGATTTTATACTAAGACACTATCCTCACTGGGGTACAGACAAAAGCCCCCCCGACAAAAGCCACCCAGACAAAAGCCCCTACTTTGATCGGGGTGGCTTTTGTCTGACAACAGTAAGGGCTTTCAAAAGTTACGGACATAATTAAATAGTTGAGGGTAAAATATACTGTTCTTCTCTGTGGTTAATTATTGGTTAGGTTAGGGTTAGGTTAAGTTAGGTTAGGTTGGGTTAGGTTAGGTTAGGGTTGTCAGACAAAAGCCACCCCGATCAAAGTAGGGGGCTTTTGTCTGGGGGCTTTTGTCTGGGTGGCTTTCGTCGGGGGGGCTTATGTCAGACATCCATTTTCACTGTACTCTGAGTCTGTAATTTTAGATTAAGTTGCTACTTTTTACATTTCCATTGTATTACATGCTATTTAAGAAAAAATGTTTTCCCATGCATATTACTTTTGAATAGCGTTTTTATATTATGCAATGTGTCTAATAATAAATAATATATATAATATATATATATATATATATATATAATATATATATATTATATATATATATATATATATATATTAATATATTATATATATATATAATTTGTAGGACTTGGAGAGATGAAAACCATCACTATCTAAAGTTCTCGTCATTTTTTTCAATTTTTTTTATCTTTTAATTTTAAACATGCAGTGTGAATTTATTTCTCGAAAAATTAATGTTTTATACTTCTATCACTCTGTCCCCAGATGAAGCGAGCTAAAGAAAGTGGTGCTGTGTACAGAAAAAAGAGAAAGGCAAGAGAGGAAGTATTAAACAAGAATAAAGGGGCACTCTTAAAATACATCAGTCGTATAGAAACCAAATCATTATCAAATTCAAGGGATTCAAGTTCAACTTCAAGCGATTCGTCAACTTCAACTCCTTCAAGTGATGAAGAACATGAAGAAGAAAATATTCCGGGACCAGCTGTGGACAGAGTGGACATAAAAGATGTTGGCCTATGGCCAAGCAAGATTAGCAATGACACACGGATCTTTCTGGTACGTCAAGGTGCGTCTGTGGTTCAAAATCTAGATTCTGATTTTGGTGAAGTAATTCGTGAAGGTGTGTCAACCAAAGGACAAACTAGAAAACTAACACGCGAATGGTTTTTTCAAACTCTGCCAAATGGTGAAAGAATGTTGAGATCATGGATGGTGTACTCCCCTTCCAAGGAAACTCTTTACTGCTTTTGTTGCAAACTGTTTAATTCTGAGGATGGATTCAACATATGGTGGAAACTGAATCCTAGAATATGCGAGCACGAATTCAGTGCAGCTCACGTTCGGAATTTCACACAATGGAAGGAGTTGGAAATTAGGATTGCTCGTGGAGCAACAATTGATGTATATTTTGTGGGGGCATGGGCGGGGGGGGCGGCAAACTCAAGGGCCGCCCCGGGCGGCACACACTCTAGCTACGCCACTGGGTGACTCAATATCGGCCATGTGAGTGACGCAAGACCGGTAACTGCCACTCAAGGTAAATTGATCTCAATTTATCAGTAACAAGAGGTGAGGTGGTGAGGTGGTGGTGGAGGTGGTGGGGGTGGTGGGGGTGGTAGAGGTGGTGGAGGTGGTGGGGGTGGTGGAGGTGGTGGGGGTGGTGGGGGTAAGACTCATTTAACAACACTACCACTACCCCTAACCTAACCTAACCTAACCCTCACCCGGCTGACTCTACCAAACCATAATCTGTAATTTCGAGAACAGACAGTCAGGTGTGTGTGTGTGTGTGTGTGTGCGTGCGGCTTCTAGACTAGCTCTGGCCATTATCTCCCCGCCCCATGGCCCCAGGATGGCCCTCAGGCTACAGTAAGGGCCACCTGCCACCCTGTACCCCAGAGCCTTCACCAATTCTACTTTCTTCTCTCATACCTGGAGGCTTTGCTGTGGTACTGGCATGACTCACTAAGCTGACCAAGGATGTCTGGTTTAAGCTTAAGCATGACATATCCTGGTAGAACATGAGTCATCTGACACTAACCAACAAGAACACGATAGATATGTTTATTGTCATTACATCAAAGGCGTCATGAAATAGGAACGAGTTTTATGCAGTTACACCTTTTTTTCCCCCCTGGTGGTGATAATTTGTAGACATTTCACCACACACACACTCACTCACACACACGCACACACACTCACTCACACACACACACACACACACACACACACACGCACTAGCTGTAAGGGGAAAATTTCTCTCCCATAAAAACACCTCATATCCACACACCCTATAATTTGGTTCTTTCAGCCAATCACCAACATCTACGTCATTCCTAGTGTAGCCAATGGGCGAAGTCAGATCACAACCTCTCTTTCAGGCAATCACCAACATCTACGTCATACCTAGTGTAGCCAATGGGCGAAGTCAGATCACAGCCTCATATTCTGTACAGCCAATGAGCGAGTTCCTTTAGTGGGCGTCCACGAGCCAAGCCCTCCACACGAAAATAGAACTCTTTGCCAATCTTCCTCCCCGGAGTGTAATAAGGGAATTATCTTTAACTATACATTAATACAAGAGCCATTAAGGTATAATCGATTTCCTTAATTATAGTGAAGTGTAAGAATGACGATAGGTGGCGAATGATATTAGCCTAGTGTTTGAAATACGTATATAATTATGCTAACTATAATAAAGTATAATAATGGGTTAGAATTATAGTTTAGGTTCAATTAATACCTAATAAATTATATAGGGTTAGGTTTGATATGTACTGAAATACACTTAGTTTTCTGATATGACTAAATCTATATATGGTACTGCATCACAAACACGTAACTATAAAAACATTTTGATTCATTTGTGAAAGAATTAATAATAATTTATTTTGATCTTACGGATATAGAATATGTAAATTATTGAGTTTAATGAATAGAATAGCTTGAAAACAATGAACACAGACCAAGCACCCCATCAGACAGACATATATGAGGGCAGGCAATGAAGGTTGATAATTAAACACAAGAATAATGAATTGTTTTACGAACACATAACCAACCTGTTTTTGACGTTACTAGAGTAGAAGAGATGGAGGGAGGGGTAACCTAACCTAACCATAATCAGTAAACGGAGCTCCAGATGGCGTGATTTTTTTTTTGTCAGCTGGGCAAGGTGACCCGCGGACCCCTAAGGCATACTATTCCTTTTTACAAATATATCACATTTATTTCTTACACGAACTAAATACAACCACAACAAATATTTAAAAACTAAACAAATAAATCTATTAAAAACTATATTAGGTTTGATATTAATTCCTAATAAATTAAAACTTTGAAAAATATGGTGTAGAGAAATGACAAAAAGTCCCTCTCACACCGACTGCAGCCCCATGTTATTACCTGAATTGTTACTCTTTTTTTTTGCTGTGGCTTAATTATGTCTGAGTCGACGTTTCTGGAGAGGAAATATGTCTGCTTGTCATGTAATTGTAGTGGTGGTGGTAGAGGGGGGCTCAGGTATATGTTAAAATGAGGCCAGATAGTTACAATAGAATAAACAGGTCAAAGTCCCACATAAACCTATAACGTGGAGCCCCAACCTTAATATAAGTAGTTTAATGTAGTATTTCCGTTTAACCTAAATACATATGGTCATATGTTTGTTTGGTCTACTGAAGAATTATTTTTATTTTTATTGTTTTTTATCAATAATTCTTAATATATAAATAATTAGTTTTAGTTATTGTATATAAATGATTAGTATTGGGTTAGTGTTAGGTTAGTATTAGGTTAGTGTTAGGTTAGTGTTAGGTTAGTGTTAGGTTAGTGTTAGGTTAGTGCTAGGTTAGTGTTAGGTTAGTGCTAGGTTAGTGTTAGGTTCACTGGTGTACCCCAAAGTGAGTGAGGGGGGGAGATGGATGACGGGGTGGGGGGGGGGAGGTGAAGTGGGTGACGGGGTGAGGGTTGGTGGATGAGGTGGATTATACAGGTTTGATTTCCATATCCACATTTATCCATTAATTTATTCATTAATTTAACCATTTATTATACAACACTCGTAACCAATATTAAGTAAATCACAATAAATAAATAACTCATCCAGGAAGTTGGAAAAATTACGTCAATCATAAATAACATTAACGTGTGATTGACAATAACTCAGTCGGCAGTAATACACCTTAGAGTAATTATTAGTAATAGTAATCACTTCTAGAATTGGCTATAATCATTAAAAATATTTATTATTATATATCTTGAAGAATTTACCATGAACGAATAGTTATGTATGTATGTTTGTGTGTGTATGTGTGTGTGTGTATGTATGTGTGTGTATAGTTTTTTCAGGTTATGTAAATATTAGCCTATTAATTTATTTTATTACGTTACAAACAGATATATTAATACTTACCTCATATTTCAAAGCTTAGAGAGAATCTAGTCCAGTTGTTGGTAATATTTTATGAGTGTTTTTAGTTCACTAGTGTTTGATTAACTTAGAATTGAATTATAACCAAGTTCATTTAAATTCAATTGAAGTTACTAAGATCAAATATAGAGTTACTTAAAGAAACATAATCAGAGGACCACTTATTATTACTTATACGGCTATAAAGTGGTAGGGTACTCCACTTAACCACAGTATGTCACTTATTGTTCACTTAATTGACTAGTTCAGGGTCGTTTGTGTCTCAGTCAATAGCCTTTAAAGTGAGATATTTCTAAATCCACTTAACTCACACTCAAGTACTGTTCATATCCACTTAAGTACACGAGTTATATCACTTTTTTTTACCAGCCTCTATGATGATGTAGATACTTAAGTGAATTAGTAGTAGTTTTCGTGTATATTATTAAGAGACTTGAGAGAGAGAGAGAGAGATGTGACCGCTCAGTGAGACAGTCTAGCTCATACTAAGTTCCCTACCACTACCTACCTCACTCCTCACCTAGTGTTTCTCTCCTATACCCTCTCTACTCACACACACAACACACACATATACATACACACGTACAGCACACACACACACAATTCAGACATACAGACGTACAGGAATAACCTATCTACTTTCACTCCTGCCCCCCCTCCCTCCCCTCCTCACCACCAGACAACCTGTACAATATTTTTAGTACAGGTGTGGTGTCCTAACCTAAACCTAAACCTAAACCTAATCTAACCAAAACCTAACCTAAACTAACCTAAACCTAAAAACTGTTGATAAGTACTGGCTCTCTGTTACACACTGTTGACAAGTAGGCCTACTGGCTCTTTGTTAAACACCGTACAAATTCCTAGTTTATTATTATTACTATGAAAAACAATCTCACTGATATATTTTCCGTACTTTTAGCTGTACTTTTAGCTGTAGTTTTAGCTGTACTTACCTAAAACCGTGAGTACAGATGGACTTAGGCGTTCACATTCTGTCGATATAAAACTCATTAAATTACTCCTTTATCATAACTAGAACACTTCTTATTACTTACAAGCTAAAAGAAAAAGTTATTAGCTTTTTTTATATACTTTATCAATTACGGTAGGTACTATAGAGGCGTAATTATCTAAGAAATATAACTACTTTTAATCTACATATTCAGCTAACGTCTCCAGAGGAAAAATATCTACATTATTTTAACTATTTTACTTTAGTTTAATCAGTTAAGTTAAGATAAAACCACAAAAAAACGCAAAGTTGTTTTAATATAAATTAGGTTTAGAAATTAAATAAATAAAATATCCTAAGAATATACAATTATTCAATAAAATATCCCAATATAGGTAATTCTGTAAATATATATTGTAAGTTTATATATATATATTTTTATTTACACTTATTTAAATAATATAGAAGGATTTAAATATATTCTAAGATAATTTGAAGGGAATATTAGTTAATTATTTACGATTAGAGGAAAGGGAATGAATGCAGACCAAGAGCTATAATTAACTGTGATGTGAAGGTCTATTTTTAAGTAACTCCTAACAGCTAACTACAACATTATGGTTAGGTTAGGTTATGAGGTCAGGTCAGGTCAATTAGATATATAATTAGGATATATATTTCAACTGTTAATAAACTGATATTGAAATAAAATAGACTAATGTTTTTGTGTTGATTTTCTTAATTATGGGAGTAAGGATGATTAATAGCCAATGGATATTATAATTCCTATTAATTATCATCTAAATAAGGAATCATCAGGTGTTAATACTGATAAATAGCTAAAAAAAAATATATTATCAAAAATTTTTAGATATATAATTTTTCACTTAAAAATAATTGAATAAAATAATAAAGTATAGGTAAATTATGTATATATATATATAAACATTAATTACCCTCTAATTAACTCCATTCATATAGCTAGTCTAGAATATTCTCAAAATAATAATAATAAAAATAAAATAGCCACGTAATCCTCCATTGGCAGCATCTGGTAGAAAATACCCCCATAACCATTGTATCCTAGAATATGATTGGCTGACAGAGAAGGGTGATAACCAATGACAAGCCGGGGTGGTGACTCCCTAACCAATCAGAGGCGAGGATGGTAATGCGTCATCAAATGTTTTCTTCAGTGTATCAAATGCGTCTTGGTGTTTTCCTCCCTGAGATCAAATAATGTCCACAATTTAGGTGATTTAAGGTCAGTAAACCATCATTAGAGGTAATTAGGAGGTAAATATATCACTATAAACTACAGTAGTATAATATAGCACCTGTAGACTAACCATCAGGACCACAGAAGCCATAAATAACAGGGTAATATGTGATGCTGACTCGACTAACACTAATTAACATACGTAGTTTGGTCATTGTTTGATTGGGTCATTAACACCATCATTACATAGGGGGTAATTTAGTCGTTAATGGCTTCTCTATCACGTAAAGTATATGTTAATAGGGAGGTAATACAGGAACTGAGAGAGAGAGACTAGGCCAGGGACAGACTCAAGGTGAACCTGTCTGTCTGGTCACTGTCTGTCTGTCTGGTCACTGTCTGTCTGTCTGGTCACTGTCTGTATGTCTTAATGCCTGTCTGTCTGTCTTAATGTATGCCTGCCTGTCAGTTTGTCTTAATGCTTGCCTGTCTGTATGTCTTAATGCCTGCCTGCCTGTCTGTCTTAATGTATGCCTGTCTGTCTGTCTGTCTTAATGCCTGTCTGTCTGTCTGTCTTTATACCTGCCTGTCTGTCTATGTCTTAATGCCTGCCTGTCTGTCTGTCTTAATGCCTGTCTATCTGTTTGTTTTAATGCCTGCCTGTCTGTCTGTCTTAATGCCTGTCTGTCTGTATTATCTTAATGCTTGCCTGTCAGTTTGTCTTTATGCCTGCCTGTCAGTTTGTCTTTATGCCTGCCTGTCAGTTTGTCTTAATGTATGCCTGTCAGTTTGTCTTAATGCCTGCCTGTCTATCTGTCTGTCTGTCTCATAAGTTGGTAAATAATAATGTTATTTTTAGTTGATTTATTTTCGGATGGTGTGTGTGTGTGTGTGTGTGTGTGTGTGTGTGTGTTTATGTGTGTGTGTGTGTATGTGTGTTAGACTGTTTGTGTGTGTGAAGTAACATTGGCAAAATTTTAGATATCTAAACTAACCTAACTTAACTTAGACTAACCTAACCTACCTATCTACCTAACCTAACACTAACCTGACCTAACTTAACCAAAATAAAACTAACCTAACCTAACCATACCTGAAGTAACAGTTACATGGTAGTTGGCGCGTCGTTTGTAAGACTGAAGAAGTTAACGACCCTAAAAGTGATTGTACAGTAAAACCTCGATATAATGGACTTCTCTTTCCATATAGTTCGTTAAATTGAGGTTACATATTTGACGGAACCTCTAATTAGCGAACTTTCCTCTCCGTATAATTCGTTATACTGGGGTTTCATATTTAACGGAACCTCTATATAGCGAGCATTCCTCTCCATATACTTCGTTATATGGGGGGTTTCATATTTAACGGAACCTCGATATAATGTTCTTTCTCTATATACAGTCTCTCCTCGACTTACGACGGGGTTCCAGGTCATAATGCGGGTTGTCGTAAGTCGGGGAGAAACTGGAGTTCATTAAATAGAGGTTAGGTTAAGTTGTTTAGGTTAGTTACGTTTGGTTAAGTTAGATTAGATTATGTTAGTTTAGATCAGGTCAGGTCAGGTCAAGTTAGGTATCCAAATTATGTTTTTTCCGATGGTTTTTGGTGAGTTTTGAATAATTTAGACCTTATCAGACATCAGTAGTCTATACCATTTCCCCCGACCCAAAACACCGGATTCCCACCAAAACGAAAATTTTACCTTTTTTATGGAGAAATTTCAAGTCGGTGCAAAATTTCCTCAAGTCGGTTTAAAAAAGAACACTGAAGACACCAAATATCACCTTTATTTACACCACCTGGCACTTGAACCGACACCTTGAGAATATAACGGACTTTCTCACGTAAAGGTAAACAAAAAACGAACGGAAAAAAAAAATACTCCTCGAAACATCAACTTTAGGGTCTCTCTCCTGAACCCTCTTCCACGGATGGCAGATGTACCGCCTTTGTTCCGTCTGCCAAACAGGGAGGAAGATATTGGAAGCATAATGTGTTGTCTAATGGTAGACCCTGCTGCCATATGTGACCAGGTTGATGATCTGACTTTCTGCCTCATTTACACACAGTTGCAGGGTCTCAGTTGTTTCCCTCACAACACAACACAACACAGCACAACACAACACAACAACATATATTGTTTCTCACTATTGATCTTTTTTCATTTTTGTATTTCTTTATTATTATTATTATTATTATTATTATTATTATTATTATTATTATTATTACAGAGTTATTATTACAGAGTTGTTATTATTTTATTTTTTATTTTTTTATTACTGTATACATTTTATTTACTATGAATTTTTATTATTATTATTATTATTACATTTTCGCTCCCCAGGCCCCATGTGGGTGAGTGACCTGTGCCCGGGTGGGCTAATACCTGTAAAAAAAAATAGATGATGGTGATGATGAATGATGGTAGTGATGAATAATGATGATGGTGACAATGATAATAATGTTGGTGGATGATAATGTGGTGGATGATGATAATAATGCTGGTGGATGATAATGGTGGATGAAGATAATAATGCTGGTGGATGATAATGGTGGATGATGATGGATGATGATGGTTATATTTACAGATGGCCACACAGAGTGATGATGACGATGGCAGGGTGTCTGCTCAGAAGAAGGACGCGGCCGTAGTGGAGGACCCCGACGACTCCTCTACCCTACCGTTCCCCGAGCTGCTGCCCGTCGGGGGTCAAGGTTACCCCGCCGTCAACTACTCCGGGTCGACGTCCGGCAAAGATACGGAAAAAGATCGAGCGGCCGCATCACCGGCGGTGAACAAAGACGACTTTGACGTTTGCGAAGGCTGTCTGAGGCGGCGGGCCGAACGGTGTCCCCCAGACGAGGACGAGAGATCGCCTCGCGGGGTCAAGTACCCTCCCTTCCTGGAGTACTCTCTCGCTAACCTCCACCTCTCCCCTGGGAAAAAGAAACCCCTCCTGCGGAACAGTAAGCTGGCCGTTCTGGGGGCGAAGTACAGCTCCGAGTTACGTAGGGGGAACGCATCTTCCTCCTCTGGGGTAATACTAGAGCTGGTGAATTCTTCTAAAGACTTAAATAACAAAGATTTAATCAAAGAAGAAGAAGAATCCGTTACCACCGCTAAGGTTAATGGCGCAGAGATAAACAGTGACGTTCGTTCCTTGGACCTGGGTAAGGCCGCTCCGGGTGCGTTCCAGGTCCCCAAGTCGGGATTGTTTGAGTCCTTTAACGAGAGAACCGAGGCGGAAGACTTTGCCAGTGTGTGTCAGAACAATAAGAGTGATAATAATAACCGATGTAGCGCCAACAAGAAGCTAGAGTTCTCCCCCCACGGATGTAAACACCGAGGCCAGCCCAAGTCCCGCAGGGCCCTGTACAAGAGGAGGTGCAGACGGCGGCTGACCGAGGGCGAACTACCCGACCTGACGTCCCTCTCCCTGACCGAGACCCTGGACGTGGCCGGGGGTGCGGCGAGGTCGTGCTCCCAGCAGGCCCGCAGCCTGGACTACGAAGACGTGACCATGGACGAACTGGCGGCCTACCTTGATAACTTCCTCTACCTGCCAAAGAAAATGTCACACATGGCCGAGATGATGTACACCTGAGGCTCGACCGCACGTTAGTCTCGTCCGGGGTGGGTGGGGGTGGGGGGGGTAACTGATGCTCGTCACCACTTGATTATTTACTTGTTTATATCACCACTTGATTAATTAATTAATTACTTGTTTATATCACCACTTGATTAATTAATTAATTGCTTGTTTATATCACCACTTGATTAATTAATTACTTGTTTATATCACCACTTGATTAATTATTTACTTGATTAATTACTTTTTTGTGTCACCACTTAATGACTTGTTTGTGTCACCACTTGATTAATTACGTGTTTCTGTCACTACTTGATTAATTAATTACTTGTTTATATCACCACTTGATAAATTAATTGTTTATATCACCACTTGATTAATTAATTAATTACTTGTCTTTGTCACCACTTAATTACTCCCTCAATATGTGTCACCACTTAATAGGCTTGTTTCTTAACTGTAATATACAGTACACGGTTTACTTTATACACCAGCTCATGTGACTGTTGAGGCCATTTATAGCATCGTGCTTAATTATGTTTGTTTGCCAAGTTAACTTGTTTTTTTTTTATGTTCCAGTAAATTGCTTTTGTTATTGCTGTGATTTCATACTTAAAAATTTACGGAAGGCTACTTTTGTTTTTCACTTGTTATGTATAGTAACAAAAGTAATGGATTTATACATTAAAATTTACAGAATGCTACTGTTTTGTGTTTAACTTGTCATATATAGTAAAAAAAGTAATGGATTGAGAATTTTTATTGTGATTTCATACTTAAAAAAAATTTACAGAAAGCTTTTGTTTTCTTTCAATTGTCATATTAAGTTTACTAAATTATTCTAATGCTTCCAAATATTCTTCCCGCAAAAACACACACACACATGCGCACACACGCACACGCACACACACACACTTGTTGAATCTGTATACAAAATAATAATTACATGATTTCGACGACTGACTGACATTGATCGATCAGCATCTAATTTCATCACTTTTTATTGTGGGGGGGGGGGCGTTATTTACCGATCTACCTTGAGTTTGATGACTATTAAATTATTAAATAGTTTTGAAATACTTCTTGGTTATTTCACGGTATAAATACTGTAATGATAAAAATAGTCTTTATCGGTTGTTTATTAACGCCACGACAGCCAGAGACAAACACAGTCGTCGCCATAACAGCAAAATTTCCCTCTGTCTTGGTTTAATATAATCGACAAACACGTCTTTGGAACCTTTGTATACCAATTATGTGAAGATATATTGAAGAAAGTAATGTGGTGTTTATTGAGTATTTAATGTATATACTTGTGTTTATTGAGCCTTTAATGTATATATTTATGTTTATTGAGCCTGTATATATACTTGCTGCCTGATGTGACGAGAGTATAAGCCGAGGTCAGAGGTGAGTAACAGAAGGTGTGTGTGTGTGTAGCAGAGAGCAGCTGGGTGTAGGGTTATCATACATATATACATACAGTAGATACATATACATACAACTACCCATGGATAGATAGAGGGAGAGAGAGATTTATACATACAGATAGAGAGAGAGACACACACTAATAGCAGCTCAATGCTATTTATCTCGGCATAGTTTTACACTCTACTTAACTCACAAACACAATAACACACTGTTTAACTTGATACTAATTACATTATAATGCTATAGCCTTTAATTATTATATTATAGTTATATTTTGGTTATATTTGGCAAATATTTGAGTTTAATTATATATTATACCAGGAAAATGTTTACCGGGTAATTAGCAAAGTCAAGATGTAAAATATCGGATGTCGTTTGATTTTTTTTTTGTATTTATTTCTGAGAGAAAATAATTTGCTGTTTAAAAGTACAGTCAAGTTCTTATATAAACCTGAAGATTTTGTTTGATTTCTGTGTACAATACTGTATTAGGTATAAAATGTATGATTCTTATGTATTTTTTATTTATACACTCCCAGCAATATTATACTTGTTTATATATACCAAAAATATATATGCTTTCATTACAGGGTCGGTTTTTGGAGGGATTCCTAACCTAATACTAATGCCGTTTCTTACTATGCTGTAACGTGTCGGTGTGTGGTTAGGTTAGTCATGATTAATACTGTGCTGGGATGATTTCTCTGGCAACATCATCATCCTATCTACTTGTACGTCCATTTAATTCTGTATATGTCGGTAATGGGTGTACACTATACTCATCTGGGATAGCCGTAAACTCCACGTATACAGAATTGCATCGCGTAAACCAGACCCTAATCGTCTTGTTATGGTTAGGTTAGATTGACACAAATTCCTCTGGTATGACATTCTCAGCGGCAAGACTCTCACACTAATTTACCGCATAAACATCGAGGCCACAGGTGACGTAACTTAAGGCGACGTCACACGAGCGCTTTCACTGTAAATTAATTTGAAGCAACAAAATACGATCAATCTCTTCTAAACTTGGTCACATGAGCGGTTCTTACTCTAGTTTCTACAGCGGGGAAAAAAAACAAGTGATGGCCGCCGTGCAAGTGGATGGGAGCCGGGACATTACAACAGGTGAATGCAGATGGAGCAGCCGCTATCTTTGGTACTGTATTGATTATTAAAACGTAACGAGACAGACCTAAGAAAATAAACGATCGTTGACTCGTAACTGCCTTCCGTGGTGTTACATGTGACCCAAAACCTCTTGCTACTTCCAAGACCCCAGACATTGCTAAACAGTTATTATCAACCAGTTAATATCTAGACTATAATCGTGTCAATTGATGAAGGATTAATTTACTCCAGTTGTTAATTTTTCCAAACTTTCACCCGACCCCATGGCTACAACTGGACTAATAATATGTACTGGATTATTCTTTTCTACTTCTGGTGTCAATCTTTTATCAAACACATGGCCATATTTACCTCCACTCTTCCCAGCAGATGAGATGATAAAGGGGTAAGGCATCTCTCCCGATAGGTCCTAAGGCCAGCAATGACCAGTGACTGCTAGGGGTAAGGCACCTCTCCTGATAGGTCCTAAGGCCAGCTATGACCAGTGACTGCTAGGAGTAAGGCACCTCTCGCAATAGGTCCTAAGGCCAGCTATGACCAGTGACTGCTTGAGAGTTTATATAACCCAGTTGATTACCTTTTTGGCTATCATCATCATCTGCCAACAACAGAACAAAGAAACTATTGAAACAGACAGACACACAGCTAGGTGGTGTTGGGTAGTGTAAATAATAATGCATCAATTGTATAGTGAACCTTCTTTGTAATGGACTTTCATCTCTATATAGTTCATTATATGGAGGTTTTAATCTAATGGACACCTCGATATAATGGACTTTCATTTCTATATAGTTCATTATATGGAGGTTTTATATCTAATGGACACCTTGATATAATGGACTTTCATCTCTATAGTACAGGGGGTCTCCGGGTTATGAATGGGTTCCGTTCCCGAGGACGTTCGTAAGTCAGAACGCGTGCTATATACAATAGTGTACCTTTTTTTTTTTACGGGTAACAGCCCACCCGGGTCCTGGGGGCCGAAAAAAATTAGAGTACTGTATACAGAAATTAAAAATAGAAAAGAAAAAGATTATATTAATCTACACCACGATGACGGACAACCAGGTTTAGAAGTGAGACAGATTGTATGAGTTTGGAAACAGAAGAAGGCAGAGCATTCCACAGTTTGGCTGTGTGAGGAAAGAAGGAGGTACTATAACGGGTTATTATAGTGTGACCAACAGCCACAGATAAAAGGTGGGCACCGCGGGCAAGACGAGTGTTACCAGCCCACGGCCTTGCCGGCGGTACACAGGATGCCAAATCCGCCAAACATTGCCCGTTAAAGTATCTGTAAAAGAGAGAGAGTGAAGCAACATTGTGGTGAAGAGAAAGGGAAGAAAGATTATCAAATAAAGGTGGAGAGTTAATAAGCCTTTGATTCCACCCTATCTAACAGTTGAAGAGCCACCCCAGATATGAGAGCAGTACTCCAAGTTAGGAACAATGAATCCCTTATATACCTGAAGCAAATGCTCAAGAGTGAAGTAACTACACATACAGAAGAATGTTTAAAATACCACTACTATATCATAGCCTAAGTCCTTATATAAATAACTTAATTTATGAAGAAATACGAAGACAAAATACAATAAGTCATCAGGTAAATCAAATACAGTCCTGGAAATTTATAGTTTAACCTCGTTCATATTGGCGGGCGTTCGTAGTCGGGGGCCCCCTGTATACAGTTTGTTATGTGGAGGTTTCGCATCTAACGGACCCTCGATATAATGGACTTTCATCTCTATATAGTTCGTTATATGGAGGTCTCACAACTAACGGACCCTCGATATAATGGACTTTCATCTCTATATATTCGTTAAATAGAGGTTCCACTGTACTTGTTCCAATGTACAGTACTTGTTTTATTGTTTCCCAGGATTGACTGAACTGTTAGGTTAGGTTAATAAAGTCAACTTAAATCCCTCTTAAATTTTAATATCCATTAATAATATTATCCAAGAAAAAACAATAAACCAAATCATACAAGAATTAAAACACTACTTACTCTGCGGTTTATGATGGAGTTTTCCGTTTGGTTTTGCTTGGGTTTATCCATTTGGTTTAATTTTTCCGGGGATAATTCTCCAATCCTCATTCCAGTTTTGGGGGTTTTTTTTCTAATGTTTTTTTTTCCATTTGGTTTAACTTTTCCTGGGATAATTCTCCAAACCTCATCCTGGGTTCTTTAGGTTTAACATACCGTACCGTCATCACATACGTACTTATAAAAACCAACCAAAACTCTACCCTAAATATCTCTCGGGTAAATATTCCTCATTATTTCCCATCATCTCTTTTCTTTCCTTTGGGCAATTTTCCCCTTCCCGTGATCCGGACTCTCGACGATCTACTGTCCGATGGTTTCCCCCCCCCTCTCCCGCGTTTGTCATTGGTCGACGGGCCTCTGCGTTTATGCCTCAGAAGCTCGTCCTCGGTCATGGGTTCGATCACTTTCCCCATCTTGGTGATCAGGGGGGGTTTGGTGAGCTTCTTGTGCGTGGCTTCGGGTACGAACGCGCGTCCCACCGGTGCCCTTATGGAGGCCTCGAAGTCCCTCACGCTCCTGAATGGGAACGGCAAGTCGCTTACCTGTGCAGAGAACGGAGACGCTCAGGTAAATAAGGGAGATAAGACGTTATTGATAAATGATAAAGATTCGGTGATAAATGATATATAATATTATGTTCAGTAGGTAAAATAAATAAAAACGTAAATAATTTGATAAATAGATGAAAATTATACAAGAATGAATAAAAAAAATATATATATATATATATATATATATATAAAATAAACAGTAAAAAAAAACCTAACTCGTCATAATAATTCATTAAAACAAACACTACTTCTACAATAATAAGGAAAAACAGAGACGGGATAAACTTAGCAATTAATGATAAAATGTCTACCTGGTATATTGAGACAGGCCGAGTGAGAGAGTGAGTTGGGTGTGTGTGTGTTGACAGTGAGAGTACAGGAACAGTGAGAATACAGTAACAGTGAGAATACAGGAACAGTGGGAGTACAGTAACAGTGAGAGTACAGGAACAGTGGGAGTACAGTAACAGTGAGAGTACAGGAACAGTGAGAATACAGTAACAGTGAGAATACAGGAACAGTGAGTACAGTAACAGTGAGAGTACAGGAACAGTGGGAGTACAGTAACAGTGAGAGTACAGGAACAGTGGGAGTACAGTAACAGTGAGAGTACAGGAACAGTGGGAGTACAGTAACAGTGGGAATACAGGAACAGTGGGAGTACAGTAACAGAGTACAGGTCCACACAACTCACCATGGCCTTCCTCAGGTTGTCATGTACGTCAGCCGTCTCGTTGTAAATAACATTGCCCATAGTTGAGTCCTTGCGTGGCCTCCTCGGGGTCCTAACTCTGTAAATTAAAGATGTATTATGTATGACGTATTATGTATGATGTGTTATGTATGATGTGTTATGTATGATGTAGAGTGGGGCCTTGTCATCTGAGAATGGTTTCAGACTATAAGGTCATTTCTCATGGTCGTTTAGCGGTTAGATCGTTTGAGTAGTATGTGGTGAGAAAATTTTTTTGTTTACATCGTTAGGAACATTTATTTTAAGTTCTAATTTAGTTTGAAAATGCAATTTTGAGATATGTTGTCAAAATGAGGTGATTGAAGTTTGTCTAACGATCTTACAATCTACTGACCTGAATCTCATGAGCTTTCTTTTAGACATTTTTATATTAGGGCCGGTCCAGTCGCCCCAACCAGGGATGGCCAAGCTTAGGGTCTTAGGGCCGTCCTTCTCAATAGCGGCCGCCTTCTCTGATCTGTTGATATGTTTATAATAATGTTAACATAAATATATATTAACATTGGTCAATTAAAATGGGTTAAATTGTCAATTAAGTTAAATTAGTTAATATTTTTTGAAAAGGTCAGGTCAGGATCAACTATCACATCTTGACTACTTTGTAACTACTTCCTCCATCGTTTAAAACAACCCTGACCCTCTAACAACCTTTGACCTTCAACTACACCAACTCATCAAAACTCACTTAAACTCATCAATGAGGTAATCGTCGGCAAAAGCCTCACGGATGACCTCTTCTGGATCCTCGACCTCATCCGATTCGTCGTCATCCATCGCCTCTTCACCCCGGCTGACGTTATCCGGCATCAGTGTGGCTAACTTCTTGGTGTTGATCTGTATAGTTGTATTAATATGACAGAAATACACCGTTAGTAAGTACTGCTTGATGGTGGTGTATAGTGTATGGTGGTGTATAGTGTATGGTGGTATATAGTGTATGGTGGTGTATAGTGTGTGGTAATATATAATGTGTGGTAGTGTATAGTGTGTGGTAGTGTATAGTGTGTGGTAGTGTATAGTGTGTGGTAATATATAATGTGTGGTGGTGTATAGTGTGTGGTAGTGTATAGTGATGTATTGTGAAGAAATAAGATATACAGTGTATCACAAAAAAAATATAAGGTATTGCCGTTAAATTTGTTCATATATACAACTTAGTAATGTACGGTTAGGGTTAAAAAGTTCACTCTCTCCCTAAATGAAGCAATACTGACTCTAAATGTGGTGAAGCAATTGAGTCAGTTCGTTCTCGTCTCGTATGAAGCAACACCGACTCCCTAGATGAGGTGAAGCAATTGAGTCAGTTCGTTCTTGTCCTAAATGAAGCAACATTGACTACCGTAAATGAGGTGAAGCAATTGATAGTCAGTTTAGAGACACATTCCCCAAGACTCATTTTCAGCATGGGGGACGAACTTTCACCACCCCAGAGCCGTACAAAACTTAAAAACAAAAGAATTTACAAAACAATACCTCAATGAATTTAGTCGGATCCACTTCCACCTTCTTCCTGGTACCGTTCTTGTCGGATGAGTCACGCGATAGGTCTCCCGTTCCTCTCTTGAGAACATCACCCGCTAGATGCTTCGCACCACCATCCACTTGTAGGTCATCCATATCCTCGAGCGTCCTAACCCTCTCTAGTTTCTCGTCGATATTGTCTTTGTTATCATTGCAGGTGAAATCAAACTCCTCGATCTTGACGGGGACATTTTTTGAAGGCTTTTTACCTCTCCTTCTCTTCCTCTTAACCTTCTCCCAGTTCCCTCCATCATTCTTGGTGTGTATTCCCATCTTCTCCAGTTTTCTCTTGACCTTGTTCCTTATTCCGATCTCCGCCTCGTCGAACATCTCGTCTACGGAGATCAGGGCAGCGGTGGGGTCGTTTCGCTGTTTGTCTGGTGAGGTTGGCTCTGTGGTCGTCTTGTCTGGTGAGGTCGCCTCTGTGGTCGTCTTGTCTGGTGAGGTCGCCTCTGTGGTCGTCTTGACTGGTGAGGTTGGCTCTGTAGTCGTCTTGTTTTTCTGTGATGATTTTCGTTTTTTGTTGACAGTAGGTTTGATTTTCTTGATTCTCTTCCTTTTGTCTTTGTTTTCTTCTGATGTTGTTGGTTTTTCCTTTTCTTCTTCTTCCTTTCCACCCTCTTCCTGTTCCTTCTCTCCAACTTCCTCCAACTGATCTTCTTCTTCTTCCTTATCACATTTTCCCAACTCCTGTTCTTGTTCCATTTCACTCTCCTCCTCCTTCCCACCCCCCTCCTCTTCCTCCCCACCCTCCTCTTCCACCTCACCCTCCACCTCACCCTCCTCCTCTCTTTTATCCATCTCTTCCTGGATCTTCTTCTCCACGAGGTTCCTCCTATTCACCTCCTCCCAGAACTTCTTGAACTTGGTAAAACTTTCATCTCCGTCCTCATCGCCACCAGCCCCCTGAAACTCCCCCTGCGTGGCCCCCTTCTTCAGATCCTTTATCCAGGGGTTAAGGGGGTTGTAGGTCCCTCCTTCTACGGCCTCTTGTCTCTTCTGAAGGGGGAAGGATTAAAGGATATAAATAAAGGATAAGTTAGGAATAATTCATACATAGGTCGTGTCTTTCAATTTGACTGGATTAACTAGTGGTGGAGGGGGTAGGGGAGGGGTGTGCTTGAAGCCTTAGGAGGGAGGGGGGAAGTGCTTGAAGCCTTAGGAGGGAGGGGGGAAGTGCTTGAAGCCTTAGGAGGGATAAGTGTCTGAAGCCTAAATCCACATGTTATAATAATCATCAACAGCTAATCCACAGCTAATCCACATCCATTATAGCTGTCCTTACCTTCAACATAGCTTCCATTTCAGCTAAGTCGTCGTCCTCATCGTCCTCGGTTTTAGCTGCGACTTTAGCTGTGAGTTCGCGATGCATTCTCTGGTTCTCCTTCAGTGCTGCCATTGCCTAGAGAGAGAGAGAGAGAGAGAGAGAAACGATTATAATATTGATGATTACTTTATTTCTCTTCAGTCAGTCAGTCAGTCAGTCAGTCAGTCAGTCAGTCAGTCAGTAAGTAAGTAAGTAAGTAAGTAAGTAAGTAAGTAAGTTAGTTAGTTAGTCAGTCAGTCAATCAGTTAGTCAGTTAAAGAGTCAGTCAGTCAGTCAGTTAGTTAGTCAGTCAGTCAATCAGTTAGTGAGTCAGTCAGTCAGTTAGTTAGTCAGTTAATTAGTCAGCCAGCCAGTCAGTCAATCACCCAGACCCTAAACTATCTACCCAGACCCTGAACTACCTATACCCAGACCCTGAACTACCTATACCCAGACCCTAAACTACCTATACCCAGACCCTAAACTACCTATACCCAGACTTACCTATACCCAGACCTTAAACTGAAAAATACGTAATGTGAAAAATATTTTATACGACCACGGCCGTCGTATGTCCGGGTTGTCGTAAATCGAGGAGAGACCGTAATAATAATAACTAAACACACACACACACACACACACACACACACAGATAAACTTACACCTTTATCCCTAGTGGCTCTGTAACCTTGAAGATGAGCCCATTTGGAGGTCTTGTGACGTAGACTCATCCTCTCCTGGACCCTAAGCCTCTCCAGCTCCTCGATCATCTCTAAGGCAGCCTCGGGATCTGTCTTGTGTAACTCCTCCAATTCCGTCTTCTGTCTCTTGAGTCTCTCGCGCCGCAGTAAACGGTGGTGCCTGCAGGAGAGAAGTGTTTGTTAGGTCGATTTATCTCTGTGTCTCTCTAGGGATGATTTCTTTCTCTCTATCTCTCTCTCTTTTTCTGCCTCTCTCTCTCTCTCTCTATGTTAAGGGTTTTCAGTATTGGGTTAGGTTTGGTTATTGTTATTATTGGATTTCTAGGATTTTGTGAGAGGATTAGGGATTTATTAATGATGGTGGTAATGATATATATAACTAATGAGAGAGAGAGAGAGAGAGAGAGTACAGATATTTGTAAACATTGGGTGAACCTCCTGAGAAGAAATCCTCCAGTAATATATGAAAAAAAAAACGGGATATTCTCGATTCATGATAAACAAACGTGGGTAACCGAATTAAAAAACAAGATATAAGAGGTTATATAAGGTTTTGTCATCAGTGGGTTTACATAGTCATTAAAAAACAAAAGTAAACAAAAATATAAGTTATAGAAGGTTTTGTCATTTATAAACAGATGGACTTATAGCCAGCCTCACACACTTCTTGCTTTTACTCTTGTTCTGCATCATGGCCTTCCGTTCATAGCGGCGTTTATTCTCTCTCTGGTGCCACATCTCGCGGTTCCGTTCCTTCACCTGCTGTAGAGACATGGCGCGTTTCGTAGCTCGTTCCTCTTCCGTTTCCTGAAATGGTAACCGGTGATTAACAAGACATGGGTGGGGTGGGTAGGAAGGTTAGATAGGTTAGTAAGAATGTGTGTGTGTGTGTGTGTGTGTGTCTACCTCACAAAACACCATACACACAGTACCTTCTTTTCCTCGACCAGCTTGGCACCGTTCAAGAGGGCATACACCTCCTGCTCTAGGGGAGTCC